CGAAGCTGGATGCGGTGAGCTAGGATAAGACCCGGGTGAGGATGAAATCACTCACAGTCCCTTCAATAGCATGTCCCGTGCTGCCTTCTGGCGTATTCATGATCTCATCAAGGATGATCCCGTCTTTGAAGGGACTCGTTTCAGGCCTCAGCGACCTGTCAAATTCCAAATGGCCGCATTCTATATACAAACTGGTGGCATGACAGCAGCTCGAACCGGTGATGTTATCGGTGTTGCAGAAGGAAGTAGCTTCCTATATTTCAGCCGTGTCACAAGAGCACTTCGACACCTCAAACCGGAGTATCTTAGCTGGCCAAACATGCAATGACGTGAACAAATCAAGGAGTACATGTCCAAGTGGGGCTTTCCGGGATGTATTGGTGTCGGTGATGGCTCTCTACTGAGACTGGTCAACCGCCCGCTTCAAAACCCATACTCATACTGGTGCAGAAAAAAGTTCTACGCTGTGAGTAACAGTTCTTTTACTTGGTCTTGTGCTCACAAGATTATCAGCTCTCGATACAAGCAATCTGTGATCATGAAGGTCTCATTATTAGCTACGAGCTTGGCTGGCCTGGATGCCTCACCGATGCAACAATCTTCAAACAATCTCGTTTGTGGCTACGTCGCGATGAGTATTTCCAAGATGACGAGTTTATCATGGTTGACAAAGGTATGGACTTAGTTCTGCTTTGATATCATTACTGACACAAGGTAAAGGTTATCCATTGTCAATGTATACTATCCGCCCATTTGCAGACCCCGACCTCACCACAGATTCAATCGAGTCGACCCGCCGCAAACGCTGGAACCAGCGGTTGTCATCAAGACGAATTGTTATTGAACACACCTTTGGACAGCTTAAGGGCCGCTTTCCCTACCTTCGCACCATTCCAGGCCGCGACCTTTGTCGCATCAACCGCACCATTGAGGCACTTATGGTTTCGCACAACATCTTGACTTTATTCGGGGATGACCCAACACGCATCAGTGACTTCAATGCTGATGAAGAGCCTCGTGTCACACGCCACCTGCGGCGGCTCAGGCAGAATGAGATTGCGGAAGAGACCGATAATGATCTCTACCGCTCAGGTTTATTGCGTCGCAAATTACTTATGGATCAGATGTTATAGAGGAGACGGTGTATGGAAAGATAAGCTAGATTAGTCTAGAATGAAATACGAGTGTATACCATCTAACTTTTGGGATCTAGCAAGAAAAATCAACAAAGAGGCAAAACAGACTAGAGCCCACCATCGGCATCAGCCTCCTTCTTGAGTGTTTCGGCCATAACTTTGCCAATCTCCTTCAGAGTTGGATCAGGAGAAGAAAGGAATTCAGCAACCTTTGTCCAGTTCTGCAGCCGGAGCTCACGTCGGCGCTCACGATGAAGCTCAGCTTCGCGTTTAGCTTGCTCCTCGCGAAGACGGAGATCTCTCTCCTCGTACTTGGTCTTCTCCTTCGCGCGGTCTTGGATGCTCGCAACAAGCGATCTGAGCATGTCATCATCCGATGCATCGCGGCGTAATCTCTTGCGGCAGCGCTCGTCGGACTCTTCGTCATCGGAGACAGATGTGGCTTCATTCAGCGGGTGTGCACGAATGACCTCAGGACTGTCGTGAGCCCTACAGAGACAGTCAGTATGAGGATCTCGTATGCAGTAAATACATACACAGAATCAATGGCGCGATAGATATCAGTCTCGCGAAAGTCCTCGAGTGTTGCACGCGACCACTTGCTCTGCGAACTTTTGCTGCGCAGAGGTTGACCGGGTTTGGTGTCGGTCTCCGTGTCATCCAAGCCTTCGACATCCGACTCGTCACCGTCGCCTCCGCCAGTCTCCTCCTCCAACCTGCGGGCAGCCTTGTACTGGCCGAAAAGCTGGTCCCATTTGCGCTGGACCTGCTCCGCAGTTTTGCGACTGCTCAAGAAATCCTGCGAGATCTGAGATGGGATGGCGGAGATCAGATTTTGCAGACAATGCAGAAGGAGACAGCCTACCTTCATGAAGTGTCTGCCCCGCTCAATCTTGAATTCCTGCCAGATCTCCTCGCGACAGATATAGTCGACGAGGATCTTCGTCTCCTCTTCGCTCCACTTCCCTTCCATGCTGGCCATAACACGCTCCCTCATACCCGGAGTGAGCTCCTTGATGTCCTCATCCGACTCTCCGCCAGCTCGCGCATTCTTGCGTGAGCGAGACCCGGCACCTTTCGCTGGCGTCTTCTTCGGCTTTGTGTCTCCTTTGGTGCCCATCGCGGGACCCTTCGCACCCGCCGCAACACCCTTCGCATCCGCCGCGATCCCCATCGCATCCGCCGCGATCCCCTTCGCATCCGCCGCAACACCCTCCGTACCTGCCGCGATGCCCTCCGCACCCGCCGTGATGCCCTCCGCACCCGCCGTGATGCCCTCCGCACCCGCCGTGATGCCCTCCGCACCCCCCGCAGTGCCCTTTGCACCTGCCGTGACGCCCTTCGCACCCTTTGCGCCATGGGTCTCGCCCGTCGTGCCGTGATTTGTGTCCGTCGTGACGCGGTATGCATCCTTTCTGTCGTAGTATGTGTTCGCGGCGGATTGGCTCGTGTTCATGACGTCTCGGTTCGTGTCTGGGGCACCGCCGTGTACAGTTACAGACCGGCCACGGCCTCGGCCTCGGCCACGTCCGCGACCACGACCACGGCCACGCTGGGTAGGTGTCTTCGGGCACGACGGCGTCTGGTGGTTGGAGATCTCCACGAGGACAGCTTCAGCGTGCGTGACTTCTTCCTCGAAAAGCGCAGACTTCGGGCTTTGAGTTGGTGGAGGTTGGATAGCCCGGCTATCGGCCTGGGGATTGGCGGCTTGATTCGACTAGTTCAGATTTCGCAGGCTCAATGACTATAGTGGGCTAACTCACCTTGTTCTATAAGAATTCCACCTGTCTCTAACTCCATGTTGTTGCAGTCGAATGCAGGTCCTAAGTACTCCAAGGGCTGGTGGCCTGGAAAAGGGTAGTTCTCCTGCGTGTATCCTCCAGCCTGAGAGAAGTTCAGAAGTTCGTGCAAGCCAAGCTGCATAGCAGCCTCATCGACGAATGCAGGGTCAAGGGAATCAATGCTGAAGTCCATGGTGAAGTTGTCGACCGCGTCGGCCGCGCTGAACGCGACACGAGATTTCGAGCGGAGCTACAATTGCCACGAGCGTCAACGCAGCTCACGTGTCAATGCCGACTCGGCCAATGACGTCATTGACAGATGGCATCACACGCTCTCAAGCTCATTCACTCATGCGCACCGGAAATCGACGACCGGAAATCCATTATTGAGTAGGACTAATGGACAGATCTGAAGGTAACCAGTGCTTTTGTGGTGAGTCCGAGCGGGTCCAATTCGAGCCATCTCCATTGTTGTTTGCTCGAGGCGCGGGAGAGAGAATCGACCCCAACATTGCAGCACAAGGTCACAATAAGAAAGCGGTGTGACAACAATGATTGTAGAAATTGTCCCACGGTTCTCAAGTGTCACACCAACCGATTGTTTGTGACAGTCGCTTGGGCCAAGTTCCCTTGCATATGCGCACAATGCTGCCAATGCATCCGCTTTGCTCGCTGGACAACCTCAGCATTTCCAAATGACTGGGCATATTGATCTACATCGTATAATACAGCTTTGCGATGATTGGTGAGGTTGGCAATCCGGTCATTCGGAAGATTAATAGACTGGATCCGGAGTCACCTCGATCACTGTCTGGTGCCAGGACCACCATGTATGGACTCCCTGACCGCCCGGGAGTCCATACCGCGGTCGGTGTACTTGTCGCTCGACATCTGGTTGTTCTCTGTCGGATGCTACCATTAACATGCGCCACCCTATGCACCAGAAGACCCGGAACATACTGCTGGTTTGTGTAGGCAGATGAGGCGCCTCTGCAGACGACTTCTGGCCCTGCATATACATTATTCCTGCAGTCCCAATAATACCGACGACCGTAGCGACCGCCTACGCAATGCACCCGGTCAGCTACACATTAGGTCAGTCAAAATATCACACAACGCACGAGACTTCGGCTGTGTGGACTGGTGCTCATGGTGATCTGCCAGTGGGTGATGTTCAATGTGTTTTAGATCAGTCTTTGCATACAACACCCCTTAAGCACGGACAGGTTGGCCGGATGAGCTATAAGTGACGTCATGATATGGCTTGGTCGTGGCGCTCGTCATCAAAGAGTGGCGCCGTACTCCTCCTCACGTAAAAGTGCCCACCTGGGGAGCACCTTCTACAGTACTTTACAGGTAGTACGGAACATGAGTAAGCTGCAGGGCGGCCCGTAAAAATAAGCTACAACAACTATTCCTAGGGAACATGGCACTGTCTGTAAGTCTTGGGCTACATCGTTGGTTTGAATACAGTTCATGCGAAGGCACGTCCACAAACATTCTTAATCCTCGAGAAAGAAATAATTGCCAGCCGCTGTACATAGAATGAGTATTGCAATCGACGCTAGATACGAATGATGACTTGCCCTTTTGCTCCCGATCTTTGACACTGTCACGCTTGTTGACGCGCGGTCGGAAGTTGGTGGGATCTCGTCGGAAGGTGATCTCGAGAGAAGCGAGGAACTTGTTCATGCCGGTCAGGAGCGATTGCGGTCTGTGAAGCCTCAGAATTGAGTTTCAATGGCCAGCATAATAATCAGAGCAGACTCACGGGTTTGCGCTGGCTTCTAAAGCGGGTTTACCCTCGAAGACGATGACACGATCAGCGAGATACGTCGCCATGATGAAGTCATGCTCGATGACGAAGGCGGTCTTCTTCGCATGGAGGATGAATCGCTTGATGACCTTGCTGGCGATGATACGCTGCTCGGAGTCCAAGAATCTGGTCGCAAAAGGTGTTAGCGAAAGCGCACCAGTACCACCGAAATTCGCCTTACGAGGAAGGCTCGTCCAGCAGGTAGACTTGAACATTCGGCTTTCCGAGAGCAAGCACGATGGCCACACGCTGCAGCTCTCCTCCGGATAGCGTCTTTACCTCTTGATCCATGATGTTCTCCAGGTTCATCGGCTTCAGCACGTCTGTCTGGAATTGCGGGTGCATGAACGCAGCCCTGATTTGCTTCAACAGCAGCATGCGAACGGTGCCTGGGAACTTCGGCGAAATCGTCTGCGGTTTGAGCGATACGGCGAGCTGTTGGGCAGGTTTGCCCTCGTCCGGCTCGAGCACTCCGGCAAGAAGTCGGATGAACGTCGTCTTGCCCATGCCGTTCTCGCCAAGCATAACGATGATCTCGGAGTCCGTGAACGAAGAGCCTTCCACGGAAATCTTGAAATTGCCGAGAGTCTTCGTCATGGAGGGGTAGTTGTAGTGCCGGGTTTTGTCAAGGACGAGTTCTTCGGCAGTTTCGACCATCTTGAAGGAAAGAGCTTCCTCACGGAAACGCAAGTTCTCCGTAGGGATGAAACCGTCCAAAAATATGTTGATACCTACGCGACACCGACGTGAGCATACTGGAAGCGAATCAGTGGAGCTAACGGACCTTCTCGCACGGACGCAGGCATGGTGACCACACCGTACATAGACGGTTTACCGTAGAGACAGCAGACAAAATCGGAAAGGTAATCAAGCACAGCAAGATCGTGCTCGACGGCGATGACATAGCAGTCCGGCGCGAGAAGACTCCGAATCACTTCAGCCGCCTTCAGTCGCTGCTTTATATCGAGGTAAGAGGATGGCTCGTCAAACATGTAGCTGAAAGCGACGTGATCGATATCTGTCCCTGATCGACGTATGAGGATAACAGACTCACACGTTGGCCTTTTGGATGCAAGACATCGCGATGGCGAACCGCTGCAATTCTCCTCCTGACAATTGGCCGACTTCTCGGTCCAGAACCTCATTCAGTTCAAGCTCGTCACATATCTTTTCCTTGTTGTTTAGCTCCAGTTTCGAGTCAAGCATCTGGCTGACGGTCATATTCCCCTTTATCGCCTTCGGGATGTGGTCCACGTATTGCGGTTTGATGAGTGCCTTGATGTTGTCTTCGAGCACCTTCGTGAAGTAATTCTGGAGTTCAGATCCACGGAAGTACTTAAGAATTTCTTGCCAGTCCGGAGGGTCCTAGATGGGCGGAATGGGTCGTGTGATGGGTGAGCGTGGACGTATTGCGCACATCGTAACGTCCGAGGTTTGGCTTGAGTTTGCCGGCCAGGATCTTCAGCGCAGTACTCTTCCCAATACCGTTCGTCCCTACCAGCCCAAGGACCTGCCCGGGGCGAGGTGTTGGTAACCGATGCAATTTGAAAGCGTTCGCGGTGTATCGGTGCGTGACTTCAGATTCCAAGTTTGTAGGCAGATTAATGATAGCGATGGCTTCGAAGGGGCATCTGACCAGGATCCGTCAATGGGAATAGGTTTAACTGATGGTGGGACGTACTTCTTTACACAGATACCACAACCGATGCATAGAAATTCGGATATGAAGGCAATCTTATCTGAGGGCTTGACCTCTATACACAACTTGCCTGATCGCGTCCTCAGCGTCGAAAGCACGAGTGATATCGACGCTTCACTTACCCATTTTCACTACAGGACATGACTGGAAATCATGTATGAGAGTTAGCATCACCGATCGGACGAATCACGATACACACTTTTTTGCATTCTTGGGCGCATCGCTTCGGTTTGCATCGATTCGAGTCGACGATAGCAATACGTGTGATCTTGTCCGCCATGTTTACTGTCCTTTACAGCAGCGAACGGGTCCTCGGGACCAAGAAGGCAGATCGATGATGGGTACAAGCAAGCTAAAGGCTGAAGCAGCCTCGTATTAAAGTCCTGATACTTTTGCAGCGCCACCGACCACCGCTTCTTGGCTCACGTTATTCCGATCAGGCTATTGGCCGAGCTGCACCGTCTCATTCCGTAGCTTGTGGCATTGTGCATTCTCGACGATATTGTTGGACGGAAAGGCTGTGTCATGGCCACCCAGGACCAGATTAACGCGTGGTATGCTGGTCAACGGTATGCGGGGCGTGACGAACCCCCACATCTTCGCCCAAAGGTTGTCCGCGTGTGTATCGACATTCCCCATGTGCTCACGCAGATCATGCAGGAGAGGAATCACCGAAGAAGAAGCTCGTCTCTGAAGCTACTTGCAATCCCAGACATGCGATTTGAAGCTACGTACTTAAGGAACATCCGACCATACCTTCACCTCCCTGAGCCGAGCTCTCATGGCGCATGTGAGGAGCCATGTCATCTACCAGAACTCCCTTAGTGATGATCTCCAAGCCATCCATTCATCAGGAGATGAAAAGCGGCTGGAAGGGCTACACCATGATGAACCACATCACGAAGTGCGGATTGAATGGGGCAAGGTAGCTTGGGTCACGACCCGTGATTATATACTGAGCCCGATGATGTGGTGAGTGGCCTCCTCTGTGAGTCACTTCTAGATGTACTCATCTCGCCCCAAGGGGAATGGGGTCACACCTCCTCATGCGCCTCGGTGCTATCTGGTTGGCTCCGATTCGGGAGTATTGGCGTGGTCAATCCGCGAAACCAGTGCGTGTAATCGAGCCATCTTCTAGGCCGCGCATTGACTGCTTTCCTGAAGGTGGCCCGCCCGAGCGAAGGTCGTGGTGCGGGATGGCTGCGGAACTGGGTAAAATCACTAGTGGGAAGCGGTATAGGACTTACTCACAGGTCATAACACGCACACCAGCTCACTTGCGTCGCTGCGATCGCTGCCTATGAAACATCATTTTCACCCGCTTTTTCAGCCGTACATTCCAGGGAGCTCACACCCTACGATTCCATCTGCCAAATTGCCTGTCGCATCAGACGATGATGCTCGTCCGCCGTGTTTCTCGACGAAATCTACCGTCTCATAGTTATTCGGACTTCTTTAGCGACAGCGTGTTTTCGTGCGATTGTGTTTTCCGAATTCGACAGAACTGGTGCAATTGTAGAGTTTACTGAGCACAGGAATATGCATCACAACTTGAATGGGCGCTTATCATCTTCACCGCCCGCATACCCCGCCTCCTCGTCCCCTCATCTCCGAAAACGATAATGTCTCTGAATGCAATAGTAGATGCTCCGACTTCACGGCAGGCACCCAAGATCGGGGCCGGGGAACTCGGGCAGTGTGACGCCAGTCGTAAGTCTGCAAGACGTCTAACTCCATTCGCCGCGGAGGTAGCGGTGGTCTGTGGTCCCAGATAATATGACGTCGGCGCATTCTGTGCCTATTGCGATGGCTATATTGTCCCAAGCCAAGTAAAAAGTACAACGTATCGAGCCCCGCTTACTGGTCCGCAAGACGGAAATCTGTTAGCTCCGAATGATAAGCCACGATTTGCGATTACGGCTCGCCGTACGTCAGGTCTTCTCAGTCCAGCCGGGCAACAGCATACCGCGTTGCGATGTCAGGTACAAATATCCCAATGCAGACTCCGAACAGGAAGGACATTGTGTGAGCACCTTGGGACATGTAAGCCATCTTGAGGGATGCGTCGCGAGCCCTCCCGTGTAGGCCGAGGTGTAATTGCATATCCACGCTCGGCAGTTTCATGGTTCGATGTAGTAAACCGTCGGACGCTTGGTGGCAAGCCTAGGCGACCGGCGAAGAGCCCTTTATGCGTCTGTATGTGAGTGTTTGTACCAAAGTTTCAACACAGGAACTCAGTGATCCCGCAGCATAAGTAACGCATGGGAGAGACAAGAGATCTCTTCGGACAGTCGGCTTCAGTAGCTCTTGTTACACGTCGATTATCGAAGGCGGATGACTTACCATAGAAGCATGAATAAGCTCATGATCATTCATGAACGAAGTCGAGGTTTTACTTGCATGACAAATTGCTGTTAACGAGCGGATTGCCAGACTTATGGAAGTCTCGCATTCGCAAAGAGATCACGGGTCAAAAGTCGCAGCTGCGCGCTGCGGCCGTCCACGGTTATTTCTTGATGATAGTGCGAACGCTACCAACATTGAAGGAGTCAGAGATGACCGGATTGAAGGCGAGCACAAACGCGACGTTATTCCACAGCAGTGACTTGCACCGCGTCACGACATACACATGACCTTGGCGGTGTCAAGCTTGCGATGGGACGAGATTCACAGGATCGGTGCAGACAAGCACAAGTTATCCGGATTGAAAGACAAGATATCCTGATTGAAAGTCGTCGTCGGGATGAATGTTGTTCACGAAACTTCCAAGAACGTTTGCCAGCAATCTGATCACATTGAGTCACGTATCTCAAAGCTGCAGAAAGGCTGTGCAGCCACCTGATCTGCCACGGATTACATAGTCCCGATCTGGACCAGACAGCCCTCTTGTTCACTACCACCATAGTCGACTTCGTCGTCGTCGACCCCCTGCACTTCGTGAGTTGCTAATCCAGACATCTGAGAATCCTTCAGAGCTGACGGATATCCTATCGTATCGTCGGCTCGCCTGTTTCTCCTCGTCGCATGACCACGTTCGACCTCGTCTTTCAATGCACGATCTTGGGCGATGTCCATCGATTTTGCTCGGTGCGCGATGACAACCAGGAACTTAACCTCCAGTAGATCTTGGACTCGCCAGCTATGGCTCTTAAGCGCATTAACAAGGTTGGTCCATCGAAAGAATGTACTTGATGCGGCGCAACCCTCGGTAGCCACCGATTAAGCGCCCAGTTCATGGCTTGATCGCTGATCCATTGCGCCTTCATTGCAGGAGTTGATCGACCTTGGACGGGACCCACCTTCGTCATGCAGCGCTGGTCCCACTGGCGATAACATGTTTCAATGGCAAGCAACCATCATGGGCCCGGTACGTAAACATGTGCTTATATCTGAGCCCTCGCTGATATCATCCTCTTTAGAGCGACTCACCTTACGCAGGAGGCGTGTTCTTCCTCTCTATTACCTTCCCCACCGACTACCCCTTCAAGCCTCCCAAGGTCAGCTTCACGACCAAGATTTACCACCCGAACATCAACGCGAACGGCTCGATTTGCTTGGACATCTTGAGAGACCAGTGGTCGCCGGCATTGACCATTTCGAAAGGCAAGTTTTCCTTTACAACATCGCCCGGCCGAATGCTTACCAAGCATCGCCAGTGCTACTCTCGATCTGCTCAATGCTCACGGACCCGAACCCCGACGACCCTCTCGTGCCCGAGATCGCGCATTTGTACAAGACCGACCGCGCACGGTACGAGGCAACCGCGCGGGAGTGGACGCGGAAGTATGCCATGTAGTAGTTGAATCGCTTTTCCACGTATCTCATATCTTGCTCGTGTATTACTCCATCCCCGTTTAACGCAACTAGCGCTCCTCAATGATTTCATGAATGACATCGTCGAGGCATACGCCGTTAGTATATGTACTTTGCAACGACCTCGGGTGACGGATGTCAGATGAGCAGGTTAATGGGCATCTTAGTGCTCTGCCTGGTCTCTTCTCCCGAAAAGACCGGTGCGGTAGGGACGCGACACGGCATCCCGTGATTCGTGGCCCGGCAGCACCGCATTAACACAGCCTACGGCTTTTGCTCCTGGCCTTCGCCCATCGCTGGATCAACTCGATTTGTATTTTGAAACACTTGTGCATAAGCTACGAGGGCAATTGTCGCTAAGCAAACCTGAAATCTCGGTCCTTCTCCAGGTTCATTCCGATTTGAGCCCCAGGAGCCGTCCGGAGCGATCATGGTCGAGTATGCCTTGCCACAAACCTCCCGTCATTGACTGGCAGTCGATGAGGGAGACTGTCCATTGACTCATCCGGGAGAACGTGTCAGCAGTCGCGGAATATCTCTTGTGGTAGCCGGGGCTCTGCACCCGCCAACTCACAGCGCCCCTGGTCGGTACACTCTCCGCTTTGCATGCCTGCTTCTTCGATCAGGGTTCCGCGACTGCTTTCTACTCCGAAATCAGGTAGACAACGCTTAGTCGCAGGCTCCGACTCGCTTGCAATCGCTTCTTTGGGTGGGGAAGTGTCCGTGATCTATTTCATAACATTCTCTATAGCTGCAACACTCGGGCACCCAGGACGTTTCACACCGACCGACTTTCCCTGCGACATATGACGTTGGCAAACTCCACCACTTGCACGACTGCGCCGCCGACGCAGTACCATTAAAGACGCTGTCTGAGATCTGGCGTTGCCGCGATTACTACAGTGACTCGGGCCCGTGCCTGCAACGAGCACTGGCATGATGGGACTCGGAGCGTACCATTCCGTCAGCAGTATGTGTTCCCCGCCCTCTCCGAGAAGGCCTTGGACCGAGATCTCCATTCGAGTGTGCACCATTCAAGACGAGTAGGATGAGAGGTATATAGGACGACTGCTGGAGTCCAAGTGGACTCGTCAACAAATACTCCTCCATTCCAATTTCGTTATATTCATCTGCCAAGCTACGCGCTATCTCTCGTCATGAATCCATATGCTAGTTGGGGAGCTGGCCAGTCTAATCCTTGGGGCTCAGTGCCTCCGCCATCCATTCTTGGAGCACTCCCGTCGCTTCAGACTCCGCCGATGCCTCCCGGTCAACGCGCTGCTACACCGAACGTGCTGGCCTTTCACTTCACCTCGTTCAACCCCACGATCATGAACTGCACCGTCGTCGGACCACAATCCCGCACTTTCTTCCGTGTGGTGTCGGATCCCAATTCGTCGCCTTTTTGCAGTATAATCCGCGAGTTCGAGGGCAGAAATGTGGCTCTCGTTGAGTGGCAACAGCACCCCAAAGTCGAAATCGCTGGCATCGCAGATAAACAGCGCGTGCAGACATGGCTCGGACTGTCTTCTGATCGCACGTATGTTCAATTTCCACGTCAATCCAGATGTATGACTTACATTCCCCGGCACAGTTCTAGAAACATGTATATCAATAATGTTGGCTACAAATGGACGCCCTCCGGGAATGATATTTGCGTGCGTTACATATTTATTTGCTTGAATAATGGTGTGGGATGTAACACTTATCTCCCCAGCTCATTCGCACTTCAACAACATCCATGCTTGGGCGCATATCGAAGGTGAGGCCTAACGCTATTTCGACGATGCGTCGCTGACGTCCTGTAGGCTCACAATATTGTTACACTGGAGCTGACATACGAAGCAATGCAAAGCGGATTGCTGGAGCCCTGCGTCGTGGCTACCCTGCTTCTCTGCTGCGGAAGAAATATAGACTGAGTGCTGCGCGTTCTAGTTTTGGCCATATCCTTAACACCTTCCGTTATCCCATTATCGTAATGCTACTAGTACATCCATACTAATAATCGCCCATATCGGCATAGCCGCTGTATCGCCGGTATTGTGCGTGCATAGTACGTCGTAGATATTGATATAGTTTGCTTTGATTGCTCCTGTTCAACAATGGCTGCTGACTCTCTGAAAGGTATATACATATATATATCCACCGGCGATCACTATCGACAAGTAGTCCCAAGGATGAAAAGTTCAGACGTATTGACCGCTATATGTTGTAACAATCCTCTACTTCGTGTGGTATGTCATACAGGTCCATCGTGTCTTCTTCTCCCTTTCTCGGTGTCCTTCATATTTACAAGCATAATGTCTGGCTCCAGGAACGAACCATTTGCGTTCCCCCACGAGGACAGGACGGGCGCCGCACGGTTGCGGTCCCTAACTCCGGCTTTCGTAGCACGAATATCTTGGGGATGCAAAGTCTTGCTATGCTCTGTAGTACCGTGATAGAATATCAGGGGGGCAGCGTGAGGATGCACGTTATGAGAGCCGTCGTGTGTGTCACCAGACAAAGTGGATAGGGCCTGTGCCGACGAGCTTAGGCCTTTCAGATTTAACACCAATCTGTTGGATGAGGTGAGACAAGGTCGGAGATGATTCTCCAGTCAATATACCGTGAAACCACGATGGAGGTCACCACCTCGCTAATGGGGGCAAACCAGACTTTTCGGGTGGAGCGTGCATGCTAGCGGAACGTTCGTGAGAATTTCGCGAGCTTAGGCGTCGATATAATATACGTACCAGGAATATGATCACATTGATCAGATTAGCCGTGAAGACAACCAGAAAGTAAGCGGCTCCATCCTTGATTTAGAGTCTTTCAGAACGGACAGCTCCAGCTCCAGGTTATTCTGCTTACAAGAAGGAAAACTCTCATGGCCCTGCTCCTGTTCAGTCATCACAAGCCACGCATGATATTCAAGAAAAAACGTACGGCATCAATGAGCCTTGGTAGAAATAACGCCTTGAGCGCCACATCGTCATGATGAAGATGATCGACTCCATGACGAGCGGAGCAATCCAAAACACGGAGAAAAAGGATGACTTCCCGACCAAGAGACATCCTACCGGGGCAGGCACAGCTGGACGTAAATGATGAGCATCAGTCGAAATACAGGAACAATGGCTCAACGAACAGTGGGATTGCGCGAGCGCTATTCCTTGAAGCGTTACTTGAACAGCGAGACAGAAGCACAGAACAAGCAGAATTCGTAGGCGACGTCCGTAAAGCGCATAAATTCGGAGAATCATAGTTGCTGGGTGTGCATGGGTGAATCAGAGTGCGCATTAATCGGGGTGAGATGAGCGGGCTTACCTTCACAGAATGCAACAACAACAACAGCACCCGCCCCCTGAAAGCGTACAAAGTGCGGGCAGCTATCAAGTGACTCATCAAACGAGCATCATAATCAACGTGAAAGCTATCCTTACATCTATAGTTTGGGCGGCGGGATCAGTTGAGACTGCAAACATGAATGTACCTGGCAACAAACCTTGGAAATCCAGGCAGGATTGAAAGATATTAGGGCTACTGCAAGAAGTTCGAGCATGGTATAATATCTGTTGAGCATGAAGAGAATGGATGCGGATGTCCAAGGTTGCTTCCAGACTTTTTCTATCTAAAGTGGATTGGGTCAGCATCGCGAAGTTGCCATCAAGACGGGATTTCTTACTTCCTCGCTCAGCGTTATGACTGGAGAGATGATGTCAGAATTATGAGAAGCCTATCTCCGTTGAAATATGGAGCTGACGGTATTCATACGCAAATAATGCAAGGGAGGAAGTCTCTATCCTCTCTTGGATGGATCTGCCCGCATACACATTCAGGGCGTAACGCATGAACTCAGGAGCATGATAAACGCACAAGTCACTGATGGTGTCCACGAGTATGGACAACGAATTAGCGGGATCCATGGTCGGCGACTCGGCAGTGCCCAATGCTGTAAGGTCAGAGTCGACGATGGAGCTATCTCCGCTGCCATTTATGTATGAGGGCCGAGGGATCAGCACAGGATGCCTGCATCTTCTCCGGAACTCCGGGGTATCAGCATATCAGGGCGAGCTACTTGACTCCGGATACCATACACGCGGACGAGCAAAGTTCAGACGGTCTCCACACCAGTGCTATGCCGAATTCCGCGCCGTCGGCTGGCGCAGCCAGTTGGTCATTCATATTCGTATGCGAAGCGTCATTCTGTATATACATTCATGAAAACTTACGTCCCTGCGTAGGCAGGGTGCTTCGAGAGGCATCGCCATGTCTGCTGCTGCAGCGCGGTGGGAGCTCATTGATAAGGTCCTGCGACTGAACTTTAACAAGGTGGAAGCTAACAGCGAAGAGCAATTCAAGAGAAGTGGAAGAACATGGTCGATCGTACAATCTTACCAGGGGACACATCAGGATGCAATCTGATCGCCATGATCCGGAAGCGCTCACACGGTACGCCTATGAGGCATCTCCTCGTTTAGGATTTCGATTAGTGTATATGTGGGCTTGAAACGGCGGACCCGCGAGCCGTCAATTGCGGTTGAATGCTTGTGCACCCTGGCATCCGCTACCGCAGCCAAATGGCAGCTTAATCGGTCGGGTCAAGGGCATGCGGCAGGAGACGAACACCATCTATAGATTACCGATCATGATGCGGGAGATTGAAAACCTGTTGTAACGTGTGTAGAGACGATGGGGGCGTGGAAAGTGCCGGACTACAAGTCTTCCATGCCCCACCTGGTTTCCGTGATCCTTATTCAACCCGAGATATCGGGAGAAGGTATAGGGGTAATTACGGGCTCGACATAGTTCTGAATCCCATACTTCATAGAGCTCGAACTTCTGGATGGGATGGCGGTGAACTTCGCTGAATGGCATCTCGTATGTTTTACCTATACAAAGATGCGACGACTTCGCACCAGTACCCTGGCTCAAGTCGGTAATGGTTGGAGCCGCATGAAGTTGGAGGAAGTTTGAAAGGACCAATGATGTCGCGCACGGCGGAGAGATATCGCCAACCCATGCGACAAAGCGAGTACAGCGACCAGCAAATCCGTACATGTCGTGTTACTCCTTCGTACAGCTGACGAACCCTGTAGTGGGTCGGTGACACGATGGCGCAAACCATCCTTGCGAAATACAGACTAAGAATATCGTTCGTGCATGGGATTACTCATTCTTCCTCGTCGTCATCGGATTCTGTGATCGAAAGCATGAACCGTTCGTGAGCTGCGGACTGTATATGCCGCAATTTCGCAGCTTCGTCCGCGGAGGACGGTAGCGGTTGACCGTTGGACTGCCATGACGCACGCAAGTCAATGATGCGAACCAAAACGAAGGGACTGGAGAGACGCACAATGGACAACGGTCTGATCTGGCTGAGGTGTGACATGAGGTCGGAAGTCATCATAGAAAGAGCGACGTTATGTCGAGGATCCGTCCTGTCTGAGAGCACGTCGGGCAGTATATCGATGAGCTTGGGGATGCCACGGCAGATATCTTCAAGTTCCGTCATTTGTACCGCATCCGCCACTGCATCTGGGTCCTCCACCTGCGCGCGTAAGGCGTCCAAGCGCGTCACGACGTCTACATAGTCCAAGAAAATTTTGCCGCGAACGTGCCATCCATCTACCGCGCGAATCGCGAACCCAGCAAGCAGGTTCTGCAGGAGCTGGTAGTCCCGTCGGATAACAGCGTCCGGCGCGAGGTGGCGAACGGCGACGTCGTGTGCCGCGTTCCAAAGTTGACCGTCCATGTAGGAGTCATATGCTGCACACATGTCGTCTACGGATATCGCGCAGATGGCCTGAATCGAACAAGATGAGTCATTGTGCATGCACTCGTTGTATCCGACTGACCTTGGCTTCATGAATCCACGATAGAGGAATCTTCAGCTGGCTGTGAAGCCCCCGGATCAGTCGATCCTCACCTATCTCCGATCCATGACGCGTCAAAAGATCCATGATAGCTTTTCTCCGCCTAGTCCATGACCTGGATGAGCCAATGAAACGTTTTGCGCGAGGTGAGACGTACCCGGCTGAACCCTCAATATGCATGAGCACGAATGCGGCATCTTGTAGCATACCCCTTTGCTCGAGCTGATGTGCGTAACTGCTGGCGAGCAAATCAGCGGTCGGACTGTGACCTTCAACCTCCTCGCCCTCTGTCTCGTCGCCCGGCGGTCCAGGATCTCCGCGGTCAGCGAAGTCCCTGAGCCGTAGACAGCGAGAGAACAGAATGTACAGATGCCAAGGGAAGCTGTAATCAACCGGGGAGGGTCCGAAGGATAAGGGGTTCAGGACGTCAGACAGAGAGCACGAAGGGATGGCGAACAATCTTATGAGGGAATACAGGGCATCGGATGGTAACTGGGGAGCTGGTAGATTCCATCTTGACGTTGTCGGTGGAGACGACTCCGAATACCAGGGTTGCGGAGGGGCTATCTGCGCCGATGCGTCGTGCGCGATCTCGTCGTACGCCTCGTATACCTCTGCCACAGACGCGTCCAGGGGCATGCCGTGCCACAGATAGAGCCCGAACGTCCGCTTCCAGTCCAAGCCGTCCGCGACGTTGATGTCCGGACACCGCTCGATGCCCTTTCCGTTCGAGCCCTCGAGCACTTCCACAATCCCCGCCAACAACGCGTATAACTTGCGCACGTGCTCATCCATGTGAACGTCCACCTTCTGCTCCCGCCAGACGCGGAGCTGCTCCTGCAGGTCAATACGAAACTCGGCGTCGCCGCCGCTTTGCGCGATGAGCGATGCGAGGTGCAGGTTCCCGCCGTCCATCGCGGCATCGCAAGCCTTCTCGATCTGGTTCCCAGAGAGGTGCGTGAACGCCGCGGAGGCAGCCGACGCTGCAAAATTCGCGCGGAGGTCGGCGTCAACAGCGGGAGAAACAGCTTCTTCGAGCCATGCAGAGAGTGCGGCTTTCCGCCGGATGCCTTCTATTCGTTTCCGCACGTCTGGCGGAGCGGAATCGGGGAGGTGAAGGTCCATCTCGTCGAAGAGAGCGTGACCGAGCCGGAAGAGTGACGCCTCCCAGGAGCGGTCCTGAGGGGCGTACAAGGAGCATATAGAGGCAAAGTTGAGCGAACGGGAAGGAGACGCAAAGGGGACACCCTCCGCGTCGAATTTTCGTTCCGTATGACTGAGCTGATGCCGCAGCAACCGTTGAAGCCGCTGCTCGAGCTGCCCATCTTGTGGCTCCTCCGGAAACAATGGTACGGAGGAGATCGTGATTTCCGATGTGTTGGCGGCTGTTTTGCTAGGACAGCGCGTGAGAGTCATAGTTGGAAATACTACAGGCTGCTTACAGGGTGCTAGATGGCCCGCATATTCGCCCGAGATGCACAAGTGTACCGTTCGGACCCCAACCAACGCGGAAAGAACGGCCGAATGCGAGACCTGCGTCTACCATGGCGGCTTCTTGACCGCTGACAGAGGATACGGCGTTTTCAACGCGCGCGTATTTTGCAGGCCGGTAAGGTTCCGGTTCAACGGCGTGGTTGAAGGACGGTCGCTGCGAGTGCGATCAGCATTTCCATCCACAGAGCTGGCACGGCACATGCGCGCACCTCGACGCTTTCCGTTCCCAGTCCGCCGCCATCAGACCCTCTGCTGTGTTTCCGGTTCAGTTGCAAATGGAGCGGCCGCTTGGTTTGCGAAGCGGCTTTCAGCGCGGCCTCCTCCTCCGGCATACGAAACAGGGAAGCTTGCATGACGTGGACTCTTCCTGGCTCGACGCCTAGCTGCTGCGCCCTGAGTATCACGGTTGGATCAGGGCGCGTTTTTGATTGTGGGGGTTGCGAGGGTTGTGGAGGCGGCGGAGGTGGCGGCGTGCGGGAGGACGAGCGCGAGGAGGATGCCGATTCTACCGTGGGCGGTGGGTGTTTCCTGACGCCGTTCGCCTTCGGCGCAGGTTTCTTCGGGGTCGCCACGAGCTCGTCCTCGTCCATGCGGGACGCGTCCGAGTCTGAGGAAGACAGGTCATCGTCGTCGTCGTTGTACGCGCCGAACGAGCGCCTCCGCAACGCCGGCGGCTTTGGGTTGGGGATCTCGGAGTCGGACGAAGACGACAGCGAGGACGAGTCGTCTGAGTCGGAGTCGTACGCCCGGAATCGCGCCATGGTCAGAAAGCACGCGCTGCCGCCAGAGGATCTCGCGAAGGAGGTTGGTACGGCACAGCCACCGCAATCCACAAAGAGTTGTTCTCCCGTTGACATGCAAAACACTTTTGCATTGTGTCCCAGTCATTAGAGACATTTCGTTCTCAATTATTATTGAGATCTGTTATCAGAATTTTTTGAGAAATTATCAGGATGTGGGGCTCTTAAGCGTGTGAATGTGATTGTTCTGAACTTTTGCTGCCGACGCACGTACGTCATAACACGGGATCGCGTTCAACGCCTCGACGGCGGATGCGTCGCACCACCACCTATAAAACCCTGGACGCTGGTCGCGTATGGAATCATCTCTTACGCACTCGACAACCATGGCTGACGACAACACATTCTCTTTCCCTCCCGTCGTGCAATACCCATTGTCAGCTGACCGAATCATATCGCGGCCTGACGGCCGCGAACAGGTTGAGTTGGCGCAGACAGATGCTGGTACAAACACGAACAGTGTCACTGAGGAGCCTCTGGCCAGTGGTACGCACATCTTAGACTTGCAGATCATTCCTGCATAACACTTTTCATAGACAGCGCATCACCAGACATTCCACTGGATCCCCGTTTGTGTGTTCCTGACCCAGAGAAGACACCACTACCTGAACCACGATTGGTATGCATATCAGCACTCAAGTCACTCCAGGTGCTGATCCTCGATATATCACAGCACGACGTCGACAGCGACGATGAACACGACGGCAACAGTGACGACGACGAGGTGATACATAAGACTGCAGCACCGAAGAAGCGTCTAGTAGTTACACCCGCAATGCTGAAGGCCCTTGTTGAAACCTCTGTCGAAATGGATCCGTGGACCAAGGGTCACGGTAAGATGACCAACGTGTGGCAGAATATTACCGAAGTGCTCCAAAGCCGTGGTCACTTTAGCGGGAGCGATTGGAAGACGGTTCGCAACAAGATGTGTGCTTTGATTGATGTCCATATGGTATGGTTATGGTTTCCGATGTTAACTATCTCATGTTCTTGCAGGGCAAAGCAGCACCGCACGCTACAAAGAAGATGAAGCAGATCCTCAAGTCTAAAGGTGGCCGGACCATGGAGGGTTTATTGGAAAAGGCACAAGATTTGCGGGAGCAGGCGGCGGCTCGTAGCGCACAGCAGAAGATAGCTGATCTTGAGGTAGGGGTCGTGTTACCTTGCCTCTATCATTCACTAAGTACGAGCTATGCTGCCAGAGAAAGGAGCGCGAGGACAACGCCGGTCACGAGTTGCGAGAAAATGCAATGCGCGGAAAACGGCACATAGACCATGTTAGTGGCTCAGAGAAGGAGAATGGCAACCGATCCGCAAAGCGGCGGCGTGTATGCAATGCTGACATTCTGGCGACGATCGAAGAGATGAACAAAGAAAGGCGGATTGACCGTGAAGAACGTAGACATCAGTACGAGATGACGCAGAGGGAGCTGGCTACATTTCGTGATGCTCAGCGCGAAGGTATGGCTGAAGTTGCAGCTGCTGTTCGCCAACTTGCTGCCGTAGCGAAAACCACTGCTCAGTAGATCCCACACCGCAGACCACATAGATTTCGGATTGATAGTCACATAATGTATTACTATGTACCATTGAATCGTAATCACACTCATAGTGCTAGTGATGGAAATATTGTTCAAGCGTTGGTGGAGGACATGCAAATCTTCTCGATATCTGGTTTGGATGCAAACAATTGCGAGCATTGGTAAGTAACACACCAACACGGTACCAAATACCAACAGGCGACCAATATATCTTCATAACCCAGCACATACGGAGGAATGGCCAATATCGGAGCACCTCCGCGAATCCATGCTCGACCTCAACACGCAAAGACCCCATAGTGTCATTGAACTGGCGCTGTTCGGCACTCAGTTGACCACCAGAGCGTGTGTTGAATGGGCTGAGGATAAGGTGACTGACACCATATGCGGAATCACCGTATACCTGCATGTACTGCTCGCCGGGCGGGGCTGTAGTCGGGACATCGGGACGACGGGCGTATGCCTCACAGTATTGAAGAAGGTGTGATTCGCGCAAGAGCCAGTTGTCGTTATGGCGTCCTTCGACTGGTCCGAACAGATGGACGATCAAGCCGTCCGGAGAAACCAAAGCGGAGTACTTGAGTGCATGCCCTGCAAAATGGCCGTTGTATGCAACCCGTTGGTTTTGAACTGGGCGGCATACTCCTCGGAATGTGCAGTCGAGGAAGGCCCAGATGTGCAATGATGGGTACCTGCTGACTTGTTGTGTAGCCTGACAGTATGTGACCAGGCGCGAGGAAGACAGGAGGAAAGAGTGATCAAAATCAAGAAGGTGACCCCATGTACGTTCCAAATAACAGGTAAGACTATTGATTAGCTCAGTGAGAGAGCTTGTGGACCGGTCATACATCAACGTCAAGTCGGCCAAGGTCCCCGCATTACGGTATCGCGCGAGGAGAAGGCATAAGGCTTCCACTGCATGAAAGCAGTGGTGACTTTCAGTCCTATATGGTTCGGGTACTTCAAGGACTCCAACAAGTGCAAGGATATCCTCAACGGAGAAACTAACAAGAGGTTTGTCAAGACACGATGCACGAGAAAGTCCGGGAGACATACCCAAAGCGATGATGACATTCAGCAGGCTCCATCTCCTCCAACCAACTCAGAGATATACGCTGGCCACCTGGACTGATGCCAGTGGCGGGTCTCTGCATGCCCGTTGCCATTGCGAGGTAGGCCTCGGCAACATCGACACTTGGGTCGTCCCCTTGAGGTATCTCCAAGAGTGCCATAACGGAGTCAAGTGCGTTGGTTGGCGTACAAATGCTGCTAATGGCCGTGGCCACAGCAGCTAGTAAAGCAGGGTCAAGTGGCATGTACAGGCGGGATGAGCGGTGGCCACGTCAAGAGCAACAGCACGCATTTCTCTCCCGCGTCGTGCGCGCATGCCGCACCGCGAGAAAGTTCAGAAAATTTCGTCGGAATTCTGAACAAATCCTCTAGAAATAATCAGAACTTGAGTCCGAAATTATCAGGATCTCAATGATTATCGAAAACGAAAAGTCTCTATTGTCTGGCATATGGCATTCTTTACAAAACACGGCGATGCCCTTCTATTGTTATAGCCTCGGGCAGAGTACAAGCTCGTGACTCATGCTATCTGCCCATTGGTACTGCGTCGGACTTCAGGACGTCCACCATCAGGAAAAATCGGACTATCGAAAGAGTCACTTATTGGGTACCGAAACCCTCTAAAGCTACTAAATGAGCACGTTTTAGTACGTTTTAGGAGGTTTTGAGCAAATCCGGGTTTTCCTGATGACGGTGCCGCTACCGCAAGGGTGTCGACATGGCATCACAGGTCCAGACACCATCATTGGACTGTACGATCCATTGGACGCCTGGACTGGAAATCCCGGCGCACGATGCGGTGAAGAAAATCATGCTGACCGCAGTAACGAGAGCTCAAGGGACGGATCTCTGCCCAAATCAACCTCACAACAACATCGGATTGCTCCCGAGCTTCCAAACACATAGAAGTAATTATACGCGTGACGACGATTAAGATAAGTAATTTGTCACGGTGATGCCCAGGGAGTGCCCAGCTACCTCCAAGTGAGAACGGGGAGTACTATGTACATGGCTAGCAGTTATCGATCAGTGCTTGATCTCGCCGCCGTACAACCCTGCGGACGGAACGTCAGGATGGTTGGGTGGAACTCGAAGATAATACGACTTACAGTACTGAGCCGCGTATTTCACGGAGATGTCGGGCGTTCCGGGAGTGCACTGGAGAGGGGGGTCAGCGACGACCGCACTTCGGTGAGGATGTTAACGACTGTGCTTACGGAGGCAGGAGGCTGACCGCCGCGGGTCTGGACACGGTAGACATTGTCCGCGAGTTCTCCCTCAACGGCAGTGAGGAAGACCTAACGAAGCAAATCGTTCAGAGTCAGGTTATCACCTTCATGTGGCGGGACGCAACTCACCCAGGTAATGTCAGTAGCGGCGTTGGGCGCGTTCACGGCCGCGGTCTTCGAGGCAACGACGAAGGCCTCGGAGTTGCCCTTGAAAGAGGCGCTGGTGAAGTCCCATTTCGGGCTGACGCCCGTGCCGGAGGGCGAGGGGACGTAGTAGTGCTGCCCGAGGACCTCAGGCTTCGTCGGGAACTTGGCGGCGGTGGAAATGATTTCCTGGGTGGTGACCGAGGCAGGAGCCTTCTCCCATGCTCCATAGATGTGGTCGACCGCGGAGTTGAAGAAAGGGGTGGAGTAGAGGCACGAGCCATCGACGAGCTCGGCGACGGCACCGACGTTCGTCCAGGTGGAGGTGGACGCGGTGCAGGTGTAGTTTTGCACACCGGCAGCCAATCCAACTAGGTAATGACGATATCAGTATCCGAGGTGCCTCGCATAAATGATTGAAGACATACTGAAGGACGGGCCAGTGGTTGGAGCTGTGAGACCAGCGGGCACGGAGAAGGTAGCCTTGGAGATATCACATCCATGCCTCGGGAAGTACAAGGCGGATGCTTGAGCAGTAACGAATGCGAGGACCGCAGCGGTGGCGGAGACTTTGGTGAACATTGCAGAAGGGTGAAGGAAAGAAGGTGAGGAGACAAAGTATTAGGTATGTGCTGAACTCGGTGCAATGAAGCCCCAGCGGTTCGATGAGGACAGAAGACCGCCATCGTCCAGGATTTATACCCCCCGGATAGACTCTTGCTGGGAGAGTAGTGCTGACAGTAGACGCCGTACTACTTACTCTCTGGTGCGCGCCATCATTCCTAAATGAGCGGTATGATCAACGTATGATCGCCCTGGGGAAGCATCTGCTCGCGCGGTGATTGGCAAGGATGGTGAATACAGCAATGGTCTGCCATTCGAGGAGGAGCTGAAGACGAATCAGTGACAGGGACCCATCAGAGGAGTGACCTGGTCATTTCCATGGCGATGTGAGGTTGACTGGTGATGCGCCCGATGTCTTTGGGTGGACGTTCAGAGCGGGTTCGGGTTTTCGCGACCGAGGGCGTAATCTAGCGGACGACGCCTCGCCGTACTGCGTCCAGGGCTCCTGATGGCGCCCAGAAATCTTTCCGCGTAAGTTTCTGGACGGGTCAATGCTCTTGACGCGATCCATGCGCGTCCGGAACAGGTCCGGAACGCAGCTTTGAGCCTTGTGCAGGCTGGTGTAAACGAGCAACCGCGTCCGCTGGAGAAATTCCGATATTCCCAGGCTGTCTCGGCTAGCTTCGTGGCGATGAGCTGACGTTTTAACGCCTCCCGCTGCGCAGAGCGTCCGTCTCTCACTTGAACCCGTCCTCCGCGTTTGCAGGACTCCCCGTCAGGTGTTGTCATATGAGAATGAAACACGGACACTCATAGCAAAGGTCTGTACCCAGACCCGTCCTGTCTCAGACAGCCTGATGATGATGCGGATCTGTCTCATCCAGCGCCTTGTCTTTCCCAGACCACTCACATCCATGCTCCGGCAGTTATCTTCGTCACCCTGGTTTCTTTTGCCGATCTTCATTACGTTCCTGCTGCAGCCGCTATGGACAGACCGCTCTGGGCTCATCGACGCGTCGTCTGATACCCCGCACTCCAAACGCATCCTGCTCCTGACGGCACATCCAGATGACGAATGCATGTTTTTCGCGCCCACGTTGCTCGCTCTCATGCGCGACCAGGGCCGTAGTCGGGAAGTCTACTCACTCTGTCTGTCAGTAGGAGATGCCGATGGACTGGGTGAGACGCGCGCCCGCGAGCTTGGAAAAAGTTTAGACATACTCGGTATTGATGAGCGCCGACGGTCGGTTGTTGATGTTCCGTACGTGCATCCTTTGACATGAGATGTGGAGCTTACCTACACCTTCCGGAAAAGTGAATTGAAGGACAATTTCACCTCGTCCTGGGACCAGCAAGTGATCGCGGACCTTCTGCGGCCCTATGTCGCAGAACATCGAATCGATACCGTGCGTCGTCCATGAGAGCGCTCGGAGCAGCATTCTTTGATCACCCGCCCTACAGATCCTCACGTTCGATCAAGGAGGAGTTTCTGGTCACCTCAACCATGCTTCGCTACCGCGCGGCGCCGCACAGCTACTTTCCGCCTTACCGCCTGGAGACCGTCCCCGTGTCTTCTCCCTCGTCACAGTGCCCCTGGTACACAAGTACATTGGCCCCTTAGCACCTCTTCTTGCGAAGCTGGACGTTCTATACGCCACTGCTCTGCGCGTGGCGAGTGGAGGCAAGAGCACAACTCAGAGTGCTCAGACCATTGCATTCGTCGCCGGCCTACAAGACTATCTGATCGCCCTCAAGGCGATGAGGCAGCACTGGTCACAACTAGTTTGGTTCCGCTGGTTATACGTAACATTTTCCCGATATATGTGGGTCAACGAATGGGTGCCGGTGTCAGTCTCGGAAGATGCGTAAACCATGTAACATGTTGTAACACTAAAATGAGATCAGCCAGAGACATCGCACACTAAACAGTACAGAACAATGTGAGATTCGTAAATCGACGATTTCACCCCGGGTCGGATCGCTATGACTTCTGCACATGTGGAGGTACCACTTGTGCGGACGTCTTGTCAACGTAACCGAATTTCTTCCGCAGCAGCCCGTTGTCTGCCAACTGTCCAGATCGCTCGGCGCCAACCAACTCCGGTCTGTCCAGCGCCAGACGCGCAGGGACGTAGCTGGCGAGGCTGTCACCAAACGTAGGACGGAACATCCGCACAGTGCAGTAGAGGAGCAGAAGTGCCCAAAGCCCAAGGAGGGCGAAGGACACCGCGGCGAGCATGTCGTTGCGTATGCGCCCAGACACGGTGTCATATTGCAACCCCGGAAAGACTTGGTCGGTCCTGCGCGCGGCCAGGCTGACGGCGGCGGCCATGTGCGTCGCGCCCTTCCACATCTGCGCGGCAAGCCCGGTGACGGAAGGCTGGGTGTAGGTCACCGAGCCGCTGCCATCGTAGTCCGCCACGTAGTCGAGCATGGCCAGCACGGCCGCCTGAGCTTCGTCCGTGTCGGCCGTGTTTTGCAGGTTCCAGATGGCGGCGTAGAGGGGTTGGAGGAGCGGCTCGCCACTTTGGGCCTGGCTGGCGTTGTACAACATCGTTTCGTTGAAGGACTCATATGTGCCTTGGCGTCCGTTCAGTAGAGCATTCCCAGTCGACACCATCGTGTGGCATGTCACCAGCCCGGTGGTCTCCACTGAATCTGGTACGTCCAGGAACGTCCCGTTCGAGACGTCGAACCAGATGTAGCCGGTGATACCGGTGGAGTCTGGCGTGTCGGTCCAGCTCGAACCCCAGGTGGTGTTCATGCAATACACCGCGGACACATTGACACCTCCAGCGGGCGTGACCCTAAACTTGCCGAGACCCCAGTCGTCGCTCAGCGACGCGTTCCAACCAGGGAAGCCTGCTTGGCAAACCAAGTTTGGCGTGACGGTATCGCCGGCACTGAATGGATCCTCGTCTACTTTGTTGCACGATCCCTGAACCCGTATGCCAGGGAGGATGACGTCTGCTCCCGAAACGTCTCCGGCGAAGAAGAAGTCCTCGATCGTGCTGCTCCCGTCCCGATTGACGCCCGCCGGCGTGAAGACACTGGTGTTGTAAATGCCGTCGACCGTCATGCCGCTGGTCCATGCACCCGAGCCGATTGCCAGCTGGGCATACGCGTCGATAGCTTCCAGCCGTGAGGGGGCCATGGCATTCGGTATGACCGTCACATGCTGCTGGACATCGACGGTGGAAACGGGATAAGCGCGGGTGAGGACGATGGGGGTGACGAGCGCCGTAAGGCATGTGAGGGAGAAAATCACGAATGTCGAGGATACGAAGGACTTCGCCGTCCACATGCCGACGATGACGCTGGAGAGCCCGGCAGGGCCTTGGTAGTTTCCGTCAGCGAGCCAGAACAGCTCGAGCCACGTCCGCGGCGCCAACCGGCGTGACTGAAGCGCGGACACTCCGAGGCGAGCAAGGTGCATGGCGGTTATGGCACCATGGCTCTGAGCGAAGACGGTCAGAAAAATTGAAGGCAGGACGCTGATGGACCAGGGTTGCGTAATGGACTGCGGCGCTCTTTTGACGGAGATTTCTAGTACCGCGATTGTTGCAGCAATGAAGGCTACCCATACCACGAGTAGGACTGTACTCCGAGGGTAATATCCTAGAGGCTGCTTTGAACGCGATGGGGGGTATCCTTCATTCCCTAGAGGTGTGCCGTATGAGTCGTTGGTTACCAGTGGCGTCTTATAGGGGTCGTAAGGTTCATCCTGTCTTTCCCCACTGGCGTCTCGAGAGTATCCCATGACTGGAGTATAGTAGATGGATGACATTCCCTGTACAGATCTCCTACTTATTTGATTATCAACGCGGATACATGCTGGCACATGCTGTGCGATACTCACCGCAAGGCGAAAGAGGGCCGGTCGGGACTGCAGGCTCAAGGGATGTCGGGGATGACAGAAACAAGAGGACATTCCGAGTCGTTCGGTTCTCCTACATAACGCGCTCATGCAAGGACGCATGCTGAGCACGGGCGACGAGATTCAGACCTACGATGATGTATGAATTTAGCCGAGGTCGCCAATCAAAGCTTGAGCCACGTTGACGGAGAGTCTGACTCCGAGATGCCAGGAGGTGCCTCGCGTTCCTCTCAAGACCCCACTTGTATGTATTATTGAGTGAGGCTACTTACAAGTAACTCTGTAGCCAATCTTGCGCCAATCCACCGCACATGTAGCGAGCTCATTACCATGCTTTAAGCTTCAGTTCATAGCTACGTAGATATGGATTGGGCTTAAACGTCACCGACTTCACGGCCACCGGTTGCGACGTGCGGGCGTCTATCAAGGGCAAGCCCTACCAGAACCCATCGTGTGTGAGCGACGTACGTGTATGTGGGTAGACCTCTAAAGCAGTAAATACTGTAGGGCCTGGTCGGGAGCAGGAAGTTTAGGATCGTGAGTTGAGAGTTGCCGCATGCGCGCGTTACAGGCGTGGGAGTCACGCATTTCGGTAGACATCGCACTGCGATCGTCTTGTATCGTTGTGCACCGCGTTTTGGAACTGTCATCGTACAGTCAGCATAACAGTGCATTTAAGTCAGATTCTATGCTGCATTTAATTTTTCTCGGTGGTCAGGAGCCCATTTGAGGATCGTCTGACCTTGCTATTACTGAGGTATTGCTCTGTTCGCAGATTTCGAACTGATACGAAGCAGTAAGAATCATCAAGAAACTGTGAATGTACTCTAGATACTATAACAGTGCTGTATGTGAGATTTGAGATCACTTAGGCTCTCGCAATCATGAATCCAATGGGTCAATAGAGAGCTTTCAATTTTGATATATATCGAGATTTTGATATCCTGTGGCCAAAACGCGCGCCGAATCGAGTGATTTGAATACGAAAGCTCGATATATATCGATTTTGAAAGCTGTCTAATGCACGACGGCGCGACGAAGCGCGACGCGACAAGTGTATGGAAAGCAAGAGTGAGCAGCTCATTTGCCGAGTTCATTTGGCTAAGCGAGGGCTGTGCCGCGGCTGGGACCCCAGATACCGGCTATTTCAGTGCGTATACTGCAGTTATCAGTGTGCATACAGCATGAAGTCAATGCCATTGTGCTGTAGTGCAGCATTTCAAGCAATTGTTGAAATTCCCAAGGAAGGCGGGTACCCATGTACTATTCTGACTTTTGAAATTGGGCGTAGGAATATATGAACCAAGCCATACATGTGCACAACCTAAGACATCAGCAGTGCACTGCGATTGTCTGGTCCATCACTTTCAGAGTGCCCTCCGTGAGCCTTCTTCACATTGGCATTTGTGATCCTCTGCGTGTTTCACGTGGAGTACATTGGCGGGGGCGCAGGGTATAGGGATGATAGTAAAAATATGTGCTAGACGGAGGCGATCTCGGGTTTTCAGGGACTCCACCGTCCACCCTCGGGCACGTCTGCTTTTTTGAAAAAAAGCTGGGTACGTGGCACCAATGGGGTGCCACAGGCAGAGTGGCCAGGATTGTCTCCGGTATTTATGCTGACCGAACGCGTTGCATCGACACGTCCACAACACGTTCACGTGCGCCACATACGTGACCATGTTTGGTAGTACGTGACCTTGTTTGGCAGTGGCTGTGCCAACGCTGTAGCGCGCTGAAGCGCGAGTCGGCCACCCGATTGGTGCGATCGGGCCCTTGTGCTCGGGACTGCGCGCTGGGCCGCACTCCAGCGTCCTCGACGCTGCACGCGTGCCACGGCCTCACACAGCGCCGCCCCCTGGCCTCCTCGACAATGCATAGCCCATGCCGTGCATCGCTGCGCTCAACGCCGCATCCGCCTGCTCGCCCTCAACACCGCATGCCCTGGTGCTCAAAGCCCCGCCTCCCAGCCTCCTCAACGCCCTGCCCTCCATCCCACGCACGGCCGCGCTCAACGCCGCACCTGTCCACGCCGCACCCGTCCGCCCACCCTCACCACTGCTCGCCCGCCCTCAACACCGTCCGCCCCGGCGCCCAACACCCCGCCCCTCGACCTCCTCCGCAATGCACGCACCGCCCTCCAAGCCACGTGGGCCCGCCCTCAACGCCTCGCGCCGCGGCACTCAACGCCCCGCCCGCGGCCTCCTCGACGCTGCACGCCCCGCCCTCCATGCCGCGCCGCAGCGCTCAACACTGCAACGTCCCCGTCCTCCATGCCGCTTGCCCCCCCTCGCTCAATGTCGTGCACCCTTCAGTAGCGTACAGGCCGCTGTCGTGCCGCGATATCGTAAGGTAGAGATCACTCAATAATATACAATTGTACCTGAGAGCAAACGAGTGAGTGGTTCACAAGATATGCATGAGCGACGAGCCCCGCCTCCCGACGCCCGACGCAACCACGCGAGCGAAGCCCCGCCACCTGCCTGATCGGGTGTGGGAACTTACCCCTTTGGGAACCACCGCGCCGCTCAACTCCTCCCGCCCTCTGGCTCAAAAACTATCTGGATGACTGCACCCAACTACGCCCTGACCTTCCGACCTGTCAGACCAACTTCGCTGTGCCCTCAACCGCCGATAAATGGGCTACTTCTGCCTCAATACCTCTCCTCATCCCAAAATCCGGTGCCGCCGCTTGTTGCCCTCGCTATGATGCCATGGACCCTTTCAAAAGCTTTCCTCGGTTTCTTTCTAAGTCTTTAGTGCTTGAGAGGCCGTTCAGGATGCTCTCACCATTTTCAGAATCATTTTCCCTATCTCCTCCTCCTCCCCTTGAAGTTTATTATGACTCAGACACGAACGTAGCTACGAGCCTCCGTCCAATAGATTAGCTTTGTACGCATACAAAAGAGGCCCTTACTGTCTCAAGTCTCTATTTTATTGTTCCCCAAGTGTTTGGTGGGTGATATAGTGTCAACTAAGTGAACTTAAGTCCATTTTGATGTACCGTTCGCCATACACTACAGCATTGTTATTCATTTGAGACTAAGCTACTTTGAAACTCTCAAAAACCGTATCTCACTTTGCTAAAAGCTATGTGCAGCTGCTCTCATTCGACATCCCGATTACTCTGTCTTTCAGGTGTTCCCACGGTCTCCTGGATATACTCTCGGATAGTACACCTTGCTAGACTACTCTAAGGACCTCCCCTGACCATTAGCAACCTCTGCCCAACCCTAAGTCTGGCCTGGCACACCAGTGAGAATCACTGCTCGCACATTACAGTATGTCTGCACTGATGGACACCAGGACTCCATGGACATGGATGTTTATGTTTTGTGTGCGTTGAAAAGGTTCAAGAGCAGCGAAGTTGTATTTTGAGAGACCGGGGTTGTGACCCCCATGGTGTCTGAGGATTTGTACCGGTACAAAAGCACAGAGATAACCCACTGCAAATTCCATTATCACTGAAGCTGGGTATCATTTGTTTTGACAACTGACAAGACGGGCATTAGATGGGTGAATACCAGGAATGGATGTGGGCCAAATGTTCATTGAAAATTGTACATGTCTCAAATACATGATTGTGATCTACTCATGCAATGGTGATGGTGAAGGCGCGGGGCACCCGCCTTTTTTCCAGTCCTGAAGGCACTTGTGGCTGACACTGAATATGTCATGTGACCTTGCTTGTCATTTTTCCGTTATGCCTCTGTTGCACAAAACAAGAAAACGACAAGCTGAGGTCACGTGATGCGCGGGGAAATTGTTGGATTTTTGTCCTGCATCGAGGACCGAGGACGAAGGACAAAAAAACAACTAAGCGCGGGAAAATGCAAATAGGGGCATAGGCTTGAGGAGCGTTTCCGGCGTGTATGCAATATGAGCGCTGCAGTCAGTCTGAAGGCGAAGTACTTAAGAGCACACTCTTTAGTTGATGATGGCATTGAATTCATGCTGTATGTACACTGATAACTGCAGTATGCACATTGAAATAGCCGGTATCTGGGGTCCCAGCCACGGCACAGCCCTCGCTTAGCCAAATGAACTCGGCAAATGAGCTGCTCACTCTTGCTTTCCATACAAGTGACAGGATGTGACGATCACATGAGGTCACATCGCCGAAACTCCAACGATTGTTTCACGGGCCCACCCAAGGCCCACCCCAAGAACGATTGTCTTCTTGATTTAGTTAGAGGCGGGTTCACGAGCTTAGTGCTCCGCCAGGCATCTGCAGCCTTGGGTACTTTTCGCTATGTCTCTGCTCTAACCCCTTCTATGTCCTGGCCGCACCCGCCGAGAGCAGCAGTGGGAGACAGTGGGAGTCTCCTTCCTGCCGACGACATTTGAGGTCCTTGAAGAACCTGTCTTCGTGTCAGGTGTTCAGCACTTTACTACGTTATTCGAGCGACGTATAGACGCCAAGCCGTTTAACGCCTTCACGAAGTGCAAGAGAGGTTACTGAATGCGTCCCCGGGTTCACATGGGCTTCAGCCTCGGTCGAGGATTGGGCGAGGAAAGCCATGAGTCCATCGCCATGGATGATAGCGACAGGAAGGTGTTGTGCAAGGTCCGTCTATCGGAATACGGACTTCTTCAGATGGAGTTGGCTCAATCAGCTGGATGTATCACGCAGAGCACTTTCCCTTTTGCGTCCACTACTGATGCCGGTCTCTCGCGCCTCCGCCAGTATATAACCTACTTGCTCATGGCCTTCCTTCCGCGTCCTGACCATCTCGGACGACGATGACGCTCTCTATGGTTTTATCCGACCCGCTCACGCTAGCAGGCCTCGGTCTCGCTGCCGTGGTGGTCGCTCATATTGGCGCATACCTACTTGACCCGCATAATATCCGTGATATTCCTGGCCCGACTCTTGCAAAGTTCAGCGATGCCTGGCTGGGATGGGTCGCAGCGAAGGGCCATCGGTCGGAGGTCGTGCACGAGATGCACGCCCAGTATGGTCCGTGGACTGTCTTCGGTGACGATTGTCTGCTTCTCACCTGCCGTTGCGATAGGTCCTGTTGTCCGGATCGCGCCGAACCATGTTTCTATTGCAGAACCTCAGGCATTGCAGATCGTCTACGCTCACGGCAATGGATCGCTGAAGTCCAACTTCTACGTGCGTGCTCTATAATGCCCACGGCTGTTCACAACTGAAAATCATCTGGGACCCTTGTTCCAACAGGATGCATTCGTGTCTATTCAACGAGGGCTATTCAACACCCGAAATCGCGCCGATCATGCGCGCAAGCGCAAAATTGTCAGTGCGATCTTCAGCATGAAGAACGTACTCGAGTTCGAGCCTCATGTACGAGAGTACGTCGGCCTACTGATCAAGCAATGGGACCGCTTGTGCGCGGAGGCCGTCAAGGGTGGTTCGGGAGATGAGGGCGAAGGTGGATGGCGCGGTGAGAGCGGGAGGCTATGGTTGGATTGCTTGCCATGGTATAATTACCTTGCTTTTGACATCATTGGTGCGCATTTTGGGACGTTACCGATCTCGCATTCGATGACCTTAATAAACGTACTTCTAAAGGCGACCTGGCCTTTGGTCAGTCGTTCGGCATGTTGCACGCTTGCAAAGACTCTGCTCCCGTAGCGCTCTCGCAAGATGAGGCAATGAAAGCGTATGGGTCCGCTTCCGGATACAAAGTCGTCTCCATCCCGGCTGTCCAGATTCTGAACGACCGCGGCGAGTTCTCTGCCTCGATAGGCGTCCTGCCGCCTGCGTGGAGACCATTTGTCAAAAATCTCATCCCTTGGTACCGCAACGGCAGCAAAGCAGTCAAAAACTTGGCAGGGTTAGCTGTTGCGGCTGTTGCGAAGAGACTGGACAGGGATACTCTCAACGGGGGCAGCGATAGGGTAGATTTGTTGGCGAAGTTGCAGCAAGGGAAGGATGACGAGGGCAAGCCGATGGGGAGGGAGGAGCTGACGGCCGAGGCATTGACGCAGTTAATTGCGGGGTCAGATACAACGTCCAAGTCAGTATCATTACCGTCTTCCTTCCTCGGTGGTTGTTGACTGCGACCAGCTCTTCATGCGCAATCACCTATCACCTCGCTGCCAACCCCAATGTCCAGGCCAAGCTGCATGCGGAACTAGATGAGGCTCTCGGCACGGACGACGACCCGGTGGCGATCTTCGATCAAGTGAAGAGGCTCACGTATCTGCAAGCTGTCATAGATGAAACGCTGCGGATCCATTCCACGTCCGGGATCGGCCTTCCGCGGATTGTACCAGCCGGATCAGGTGGAATGCACGTTGCCGGACACTTCTTTCCGGAGGGCACGGTCTTGAGCGTGCCAACGTACACGATTCATCGCGACAAGGAGGTGTGGGGCGAGGATGTGGAGGTGTTCAGGCCAGAGCGATTCTTGGAGGGAGATCAGGCTGTGATCCAGAAGACGTTCAATCCCTTCTCGTTCGGGCCCAGGGCATGCGTCGGGCGCAACCTCGCCAACATGGAGCTGCTGATCATCATCGCGTCCATCCTGCGACGGTACCACTTCGTGCTGGAGCACCCGGAGAAACCCGTACGTAGTCCCTTTCCACCGCTTTCCTTGGTGGTCGTGATAGCTCACCGTCCTCGCGCTATCTAGTTCGACACTCGAGAGGGGTTCCTACGGAAGCCAGTGGAGTGTAAGGTGGGTATCAAACGGAGGAGTGCATAGGCAAAGGAGGCACCATATTATACCTTTCACCCGTTGTATGTATCCGATCAGGGCAGAACATTGGTCTGTACGCCATATGGTATCTTATCTTGCGCAGCACAGCCAGGCGCCAATCTCGCGCCCAATCAATGCGAGTGAGCGAGAGCCGCGTCCGGCGGAGCGCATTACTACCACGCGTCTGCACGGTGACTCCTCTGAACTTTTCCTACGCCCGCACCGGGCCCCTTCCAGTCTGTCATATAAGACTGGTCGTCGCGGGTTCGCAGGGCTTTCAAGTTTCCAAACCGCCCGCGATGCCAGAGTTCCAGCTGCCGGTCGCAGTAGTGCTCGCCGCGGGAGCGGTCTGCAGCTTAGTCTCCTATGCGGCGGCGCATAGGAATGATACGAAGGAGGGAAAGATCAAGCTGCCTGCGTATGCGAGCGACCCCGACGTCACCGCGAGCGACGCGTTCAATGTGACCAAACCTGAGGACATCGTCGAAGGCGAACCTCTAGACGAGAGGCAGTTCTGGACTTGGGTGAGTCGATACCGTGCATTTGGCATGGAATGCGACTGAACACCAGAACGCATAGGCTCGTCTGAGGAAGCTCGTCCTCTCCGTGGCCTTCTTCGCGATCCTCATAATACAAGCCATTTGCCTTGGATGGGCCGTATTCGAAGGCGCTCCGAAGGATATCGCAGTTTACTCCCTCCATGTCGCATTCGCCATGTACCTCCTGGTCATCACGGCCCTTTCCTTGTCGCAAAAGACCGTTCAGCCACATTCGCGTTCGGTGCAGCACTTATCGTCTCTCACTATCCTGGCCACGTTCCTACTCGGAGTCACCGCTATCCTCCCGGAAACGGATTTCCATACCTTGTTGTTGCCGGGATCGGCTCTGCCACTGTGGTACACTGCGCTTGCTCTGTATCTCGTCTCTTGCGTGGTGGCAATCACTACACCCTGCGGTCCTCGGTTGCAGTACGTCCGAGAACGTCCCTATCTCCTTCCATGCTTTGACTACTGTCTCTTCTTTAGTTTCCCTCCCGAGCGCATTTATTCCGAAAAATATGCCACCAACATCACCAACCCTGACGCGGAGAACGTCTGCGGCGTCGTGGGAGCGTCTGTATGGGACACCCTCCTCTTCTCCTACACTACCAAGGTTGTCATGCTCGGAAACACGGCGGAGTCGCTCGACATCGGCGACCTTCCAATTGTGCCTGCGAACATGCGCGCTCCCTACATCTATGCAGTCATGAAGTCAGCCCTGAAAGCCATCCGCCTGCGGGCGTCCTTTGCGAAACCCGGGTCCGGGATCGAGCTCGGGTACCGCCTTGTGAAGGTCAACCTAGGATTGATGTCATACCAGATCTTCCTGGCCGCCATCTCGGCCTGCTTATTCTACACCCCCGCGTTCTTCCTTCAAAGGCTCGTGACGTACCTGGAGAGCGACCCAACCCGGTCCGATAGAAGTTGGGGCTGGGTGTTCTGCGCTGGCCTGTTTTTCTCCAACGCGATATCCTTCCTGAGTGCGTACTCTGGCCATCTAGCGCTGTGAGCACTGGCTAATATGGTTCATCAGTTACTGGGCAGTTATGGTCGATTTCGACAACGACTTTCCAAGTACGGCTGCGCATTCAGCTGAACACGATTCTTTTCGCGAAGACCCTCGTCAGGAAAGATGTTGCCTCCTCAGCAGCATCTTCTTCCAAGGATAAGGACGATAAAAACGGCACGAGCGACACCGCAGCTTCCAGCCCGACCTCGGCCGAAGGTGAATCGAACAAGAAGGACGACGACGACGAGTCCGAATTCTCCAGCAAGGCGCAGGTGATGACGCTCATGACTACTGACGTCGACCGCGTCAGTGAGTTTGCGTGGCACTTGTTCAGTCTGGTCGACGCTCCGATCGAAATCGTGATTGGATCTCTATTCTTGTATAAACTTCTCGGTGAGCATGCTCTCCGGATTACTCGATTATCGCTGCATCTAACACCTGCGTAGGCGTGTCGTGCTTCATTGGTCTTGCCGTAACGTGTTTGTTCTTGCCTTTGAACCACTTCGCGGGCAAAATCGTTGTGAAGGCTCAGGACAACCTGATGAGCGCTCGCGACGAGCGCGTGGCGCTGATGAACGAGGTTCGTCAAGTCACTTGCCACAATAATATGCCCATTCTCATCTCGTGCGTAGATCCTGGGTGCCATTCGGATGCTCAAATTCATGGCCTGGGAACGAAGCTTCGAGAAGCGGGTCCTCGAAGTCCGTGACAAGGAGCTCCGCTGGCAAAGACTGAACTACACGATAGAGGCGTGTAACTTTACCAAAGCGTTTATCGGCACCCACTGACAGTCAGCCCACAGAGTTTGTGGAACGCAATCTGGTTGGTGGCAGTTTGTCTTTCAGCGGAAATCTCCTGACCCTCAACTCGAATAAAATTACAGGAATGGCTCGCCTTTGCTCGTTACCCTCGTGTCATTCTGGCACTTCACGGTAGTCAGAGGCGAGATACTGACGCCGTCCATCGCTTTCCCTGCCGTAAGTCCGTCTGCCGCCCCACGCAAATGCAGCTGATGCCCTTCTAGATCGCCGGTATGATTGGATTGCATCCGATATTATGCGGTTAGACTGACCCATAGCGCAGTTTTCTCCGAGATGAAGTTCGCTCTTAACGCACTGCCAGAAACTCTGATTAACATGCTTCAGGTTTGACCTCTATTCTCCAGCATGTTTTAGGTTTTGTTCTCATGGCGCCTATACAGAGCTTGGTGTCTCTACGCCGTATCGAAAAATACCTGAACGGCGTGGAAGTCACCGCGGTCCCACCGCTTGACCAACAACCAAACAAAATCGCCTTCCAAAATGCTACCGTCACCTGGCCCCAAGAAAGGGGTGGCAGCGCGGCGCCATCCGCTGCATCCACTCCTAGACATAAGTTCCTTCTCATGGACCTAACGCTCGACTTCCCCATCGGAGAATTGAGCCTTATCTGCGGTAAATTGGGGAGCGGAAAGACTCTTCTGCTTCTGGTGCGATTGCATAGAAAGATTACCAGCCAATGATTGCTGATGTTATGCGTTCCGCAGTCCCTCCTCGGCGAAGTAGATATTCTGGCAGGCCAAGTGGTCTGCCCGCGATCTCCACCAGACGCTATTGCGTTATTCGCCAATTCCATCTCCACGGAAGAAGAGTGGATAGTGCAGGGAATTTGTGCTTACGTTCCTCAGGTAGGTGCACACCACTTGCGCATTAGGACTTTCGTCAGTGATGACATGTTAGTCGGCTTGGTTGCGCAACGCATCGATCAAAGGTACGTGGCTACGTCTCACTTCCGCGGTCTAGTCTCACTACGTTGATTAGACAATATCTTGTTTAACCTCCCCTACGTGGAGAAGCGCTACCAGAAAACGCTCGAGGTAATGCTGCCATGAACCTCTATCACGTTTCAGTCGTCCTTACATACGTTATCAGGTTTGCGCGCTCGTGAATGACTTGCAGATTCTGTGGGCTTTTTATGCTCGCCCGCCGACTAGGATCCTGACTGTCATGACGTACCCTACAGCGAGGACGGCGACGAGTCGGAGATTGGTGAACGAGGCGTTAGTCATCCTAACTTCCGAACGTGAATCACGTATTGATTGTGCGACGGAATAGGTTAACCTCAGTGGGGGACAGAAAGCTCGGGTATCGCTTGCGCGTGCTGTCTATTCACGCGCTTCTACCTTGCTGTTGGACGATGTGTTATCGGCAGGTACGCTGTGCTTGACGTATATCGCGTCGATGATATACTTACGAAACATCGTAGTCGACGCACATACCGCACATCACCTTTTCACCGAGTGTCTGAAAGGAGAACTCATGCGTGGCAGGACGGTGGTGTTAGTATCGCATCATGTCCAGCTCTGTGCGCCTGGTGCTGGCTACATAGTCGCGTTGGACAACGGCCGAGTCCAATTTCAGGGCGATCGCAGTGCCTTCCAGGCATCCGATGTCCTCCGGACGCTCATACAATCCGGCGGAGCGACGGTGGAAGACGACCAGGAGAAGCTACCGGTGACCAGCTCAAAGGAACAGTCATCCGATTTGGAAGAAACCGCGGATCCTAGCTCAGAAACTAGCTCTACCACTGCAGCCGCAACAGAGACGGAAACCAAAGCGGTGATTAGGAAGGGCCCCAGGAAGCTGGTCGAGGAAGAGAAGCGTGCCGTTGGGCGCATCGGCAAAGACATCTGGTTGACCTACATCAAGGCATGCGGTGGAAGCTTCTTCTGGACGCTGTTCATTATGTCGTTACTGCTCGCGGCACTGAGTCCCGTTTTTGAGAATGGTTGGCTTAGGTACGTACCCACAGCTTTGGACAGCCTCATGCTGACCGATGCACAGGATCTGGTCTCGAGATGCTTCCGCTGAAGGAGGCAGCGCCAGAGGTCCCGTATTCTACATCACTGTTTACGCTATAGTGAGTATTACTTCAGGGCAAGGGAACATTCACTAATCCGCACCGCAGGTAACAGCAGTCGGTGCGTTGTCGAGCGTGAAAAGTACGGGTGGACGTGCTTAATTGGATTTACAGGTCTTGTATTGACGACCGTCCGATGGTTCATCCTTTGTAAGCGGAACATATTTGATCGTTTCATCGGTTACTGACTTCGTCTCTGCAGATCACGGATCTATACATGCCTCAACCGTACTATATAAACGGCTGTTGGAGGCCGTCCTTTTTGCCCACATACGCTTCCATGATACCGTATCGCGTGGCCGCCTGCTTAATCGTTTCGGCAAGGACTTCGAAGGTCAGAATGAAGCCTCTGCCACTCCACGCGATGTTTATACAGGAGTATGTCTAGGAATCGATAGTTCCTTGGCGGACAACTTCGGTCGCTCAATCATCAACGCACTGAGCGTCGCCACGACCTTCGTGACGATCTGCTATGTTGGCGGATTGCCATTCTTCTTCTCTGCTATCATTATCGGTCTTATGTTCTTCAATGGTATGTCGTGACGTTTCAGCGATAATGCCGATTCTTACCATGTTGACAGTCGCGAGGGTACGAATCATATGGTTTCTGGCTTCAGCTGGCATGCAGACAGCCATTTTCAGGTTTACTCGCAAACTAGTCGGGATATGAGGCGACTGGACTCTGTTACGAGGTCTCCGTTGTACTCGCTATACGGCGAGACGATCAGCGGCGTCGCAATATTGCGAGCGTTCGGAGCCTCAACGAAGTTCTTGCGAGACATGCTGAAATGCGTCGACACGGTCAGTAGATTGTATATGAATGTGCAGGAGAAATCTCGCTCATTAGAATGTAGAACGCGAACCCTTACTACTGGATGTGGGGAGGTGAGTCAAGCACCGATGGTGCGCCATCTATTCGATACTAACGGCACTGTGCAGTGAACCGTTGGTTATCCATTCGGTTCAATCTGCTATCTAGCGTCATCGTTGGCCTGACTGGCCTTATGGCGATCCTGACCCCATCAATCGACGCTTCCTTGGCCGGCTTCGCTCTCGCGTTCGCATCCACTGTCACTAATGATGTACGTGACTCTCGCCTCGCTCGATGATAAGGTGTTGACTATCTCACGTAGATCTTGTTCATGGTACTATGAATGCCTGTCTCAGCCATCACAGTAACTGAAGAGAGTATGCATTCTGTAGGTCCGTCGGTTTGTTGGGCTGGAGCAATCGATGGTACGTTAGCTGCATCGTTGCTGCATAGCTATCTCTTCATGACAATCGCAGGTCGCCCTTGAGCGTGTGAAGGAATATTCCGAGTTACCACGGGAACCCGCAGAATTCATTGAACCGCGTCCCCCCTCCAGTTGGCCCGAGAAAGGTGCCATCAAGTGCGAAGATCTTGTCATTAGATATGCTGTGAGTGTGCTCTGCACCGTATCACGATTTCAACTCATGGGCATAGCCGGAACTGCCGAACGTGCTTCACAACCTGAACTTCGAGGTGCAACCCGGCGAGAAGGTATGTGAAAAGCACTGAAGGACGACATCATCTTACTTGTTGTCGCTTTAGGTTGGCATTCTTGGTCGTACTGGCAGTGGCAAATCTACTCTCGCTCTGTGAGATCATGGCGCTGGTGTGCAGCGTGATTGAGACTGACACAAGCTTATTTTCAGATCGTTCTTCCGCTTTGTCGAGGCCACTGAAGGAAAAATCGTTATCGACGGCTTGGACATCTCTCAGATTGGTCTGACAGACCTGCGTAGCAAGCTCACTATCATCCCTCGTGAGTGTCCTGTGACTGCGCCCGGATCGCTGCCTAGCTTGAACGAACGTGCTGATTTCCCTCCAGAGGACCCTACTATCCTCAGCGGAACTCTTCGATCCACGTTGGATGTTTTTAATGAATACCAAGATGCAGAGATTGTACGTCTCTACTGTATGTGCTGTATGCCAGATATTCACCCCGCGTGCTCTAGTACGAGGCCCTGAGACGTGTTCATCTCATTCCCGCTGGCGATGCCGAGGAAGTAGAAGGCGGCGTCAATGCCAACATCTTCCGTAATTTGGATTCGCCGGTATCTGAGGGGGGCGAGAACTTCTCCACAGGGTACGTCCCGCCATAATACCGTGTCAACCAGCTGCTCACGCATCCTACACAGCGAGAAGCAGTTGTTGTGCATGGCTCGTGCCATCTTGAAGCGATCCCGCGTCCTTGTCATGGATGAGGCTACTGCGAGGTTCGTTTCCCGAGGCCGAGAAATGCGCAATCACTGATAAGTTGATTAGTGTCGACTACGCCACCGACGAGCTCATTGGGAAGACTATTAGACAGTACGCACCATATATCAGATCACATCACCGGTCTCTTACAGCATGCTTCAACAGAGGATTCGCTGATTCGACAATTCTTACCATCGCTCATCGTTTACGAACTGTCATCGACTACAACAGGTACGCCGACCTACTTCCGATTCGTAAGACCATACTGACTTTGAATCAGGGTTATGGTCCTTGATCAAGGTCGCATGGTCGAGTTCGACAGCCCTAAGACGTTGCTTTCCGACCCGTCTTCCAAATTCTACTCTTTATGCAAGGCCACTGGCAAAGAGGAGTTCGCCGTGTTGAAGAAGTTGGCTGGTGTATAAGCTAGTACCATGCGTATGTGTGCCTGTGAGGAGAGCACAAGATAATGAATATAGTATCAGCTCTTGCTTCCGTTGTCTTTCCTGCACGCCTGTTCAGACACATTTGAGGGTGACATGGGTTTCGATAGCTACATACACCCATGGCGTGGGAATGCTTTGCCGGCATGACTGTGGTGTCTCCTGCCTGGCCCTGCCACTGCCAGAGGTTGTTGGGCACTTGTGGTGCGCCCATCGGAAACTTTGAACGAGGAAACATTAATGAGGATATCTACTTGAGGAACTGGCTATCGAACATATCACGCTTCTCATCGCATCTACTGGCAACATCATCGTAGTCGCCGCTCCTAAGGTTCTCGACAGCGAACATGGCAGCCCCTCTCTATACCACCGATTCTGGCCTTCTATGGCATGCTGGAAAGATACTTGTCGTCACTGTTGGACTCCCTGCAAGGGGTATGTGGTTCTTGATCTGCCGCATGCGTGCTTCGTACCGATGTCTTGCCGCTGCATTTGCACCGAAACCTTTTTTCTCAGGCAAGACCCATATATCGCGCGCCCTGGAACGTTACTTGCGTTGGATGGGCGTGAAAACCACGGTGAGTATGTTCAACGAGATTCAATCGTAGTCCATCGGACAGAATCCTCTTCATATACTCTTCACTTCGTTCGCCATATCTTGCGAGCTTTGCATTTCTGATGCCATGATACCCAGGTCATTTCTTTGGGTGATTACCGACGCAAGACAGCAGGGGGCGCACACACACTTCCTCCGGATTACTTCACCCTAGGTGAGTCATGTTTACCTGCCGTAATACATCTCGTCATTCAGCGTCTTTTTCTGCTTCCGTCGCTAACACCACTGCTCTAGGCCAGCGGTCTCCCGAAACACAAGCTCTACGTAGAAAAGTGCTGGATGGTTGTGAGCAACTCATTTGGGACTTCTTCAATAAAGGAGGCCAGGTGAGTCGGTATCTCAGTCATTTCGCGCTACACTCCTGAAATCTCGTGCAGGTTGTAATCTACGATGCGAACAACGGGACCAGAGAGGCTAGAAACACGCTAGCGAAGAAGTTCGACGACCAGGGCATACATGTGATCATGCTCGGTGGGTAATCGTCGCCTGTACGCATCTGCCTGATGCTCAATTGGATACAGAATCCATGTGTGATGATCCTGAACTAATCGAACGGAATATACGCAGCGTCAAAATCTCCTCTCCGGATGTGAGTAGTGCTTCGGTCTGATGTAGAATCCACCGTTGTTTCCGAAACTCACCCCTGGCTGATCCCCTGCGGGCTGATTTAGTACCGAGGCTGGGACCCAGATAAAGCAGTCAAGGATTATTATTCTCGCATCTCGGATCATGAAAAGTACTATGAACCAGTTGAGGAGACAACATGGCCATTTATCCGAATTATCAATGTGCGTCATGCTATGGCTGTCCTTGCCTGATGGAAACTTACCGCCATGTGTGCGATCGGCAGGTCTCTGAGAAGGTTCTTGTCAACGTACGTTTTGAACCTTCGCTCACAATTGCCGTCTGACCTCGTTTGAGCTCAGCGGATCCGGGGCTACCTGCAGGCATGTGCTTCGAGTAACCGATGGTCTCGTTACCGACCTCCCCTTGTTTTGCCAACCATGGCAGTCCAGGATCGTGTTTTTCCTGATGAATATTCACAACAAACCACGGACGATATACTTCGCACGAGTGAGTCCTTCGAATATTAGAAGAACTCGTGCTGAGTCATCATTCCGAGTAGTCAGGACAATCGTCATTGGAACATTCATACAAGGCTGATTCCGACCTTTCGGAAGCAGGATGGGAGTACGCTGCGCGTCTCAAAGAATTCGTCGTCGAACGTCGAGCCAAGACATTTGAACAAAGAGGTCTGGATCCTAAGGACCACCGTCTAGTCGTTCGTGGACAATGCAGTTCTATATTACGGTGCCTGGCAGTCTCATATGCGTCATGGCACAGATATGGACTTCCTCTAGGCGAAGATCGCACCATACCGCCTGGCCCTTCATCAGCGATGCCACTAGTTCGGGCACCCCGCTGAACGTGAAGATTGTAGAGAAGGCACAGATGGGCGAGATCAATCCAGGCGTGTGGGACGGGTTCACCCCAGAGCTTGCCAGGAAGTTTTATCCCGACGAATGGGAGCGCTTCTCTAAGGACCCTTACGCGTATCGGGCTCCGCGTGCGGAAAGCTACCATGACTTATGCGGTGCGTGCTCAAGCGACAGGCGGGCAATTCTCTGAGAAAGGCTAAATGGGCCATTGTCGCAGTGCGCCTTGAGCCTATCCTGATCGAGCTAGAACGCGAGCAAGAGGACCTCCTGATCATAGGTCACGCCTCTGTCATACGATGTCTTCTGGCGTACTTGATAGGTCTTCCGGCTTCTGAGATTCCTGCCATCGAGGTGGCTAGGGGCGACTTGATCGAAGTGACGCCGACTTCATACGGCGTCCGTAGCCAGGCCTTCCACTTCTGGGATGGGCCTGGGCGTCGCGGCGATGGACCTGTGGAACAGGGCTCTGGCAAGGACGAGAACAATTTCTATGAGAATTACGCAGGTGAGTGGTCTGCGTTGCTTATCTGACGGAACCTCCTGCTAATCCCCACGCGAAGAGGATACGTGGGGCAAGAAGAAGCTGGTTGCGACTGAGTCGCTCGGGTGAAACTGAATGATGTTGTATTTGTTCTCTCAGTGTATCAGTAACTGATCGTGGTCGTGTGCGCGTGGATGATAGACGCTTTATCTCCATTTCAGGATGAACTCTTCAGCACGCATTGCAGGCTGCCATCGCAAAGCTCATGGCGGCGTATTTGACCTAAGCCATCCGACGCGGCGATCTAGCGTGTTCCGCGGAGCCGTCGTGGTAAGCATGGACTGAATTGGATCTCCGCACGGAAGAAGGAAGCCATCAAGCCAACGTGCTCCGTGTTCGGCATTCATGGTCGAACCGGATGCCCTCTGTGGTCGTCCAGAGCATCGCGAAGTGCACTCTTACTTCCCGTTATCTGGAGTGCTCGCGGCACACCGGCTCGCACGAGATGCGAGCTGCTTCACATATAGTATGGAGCCATGGAACGAAGCCCCAGTGCTCTCCGCCGCACGTTTCACCACTGCATGCTGCAAGCGATGCTCGACGCCGCCTCGCCCAGCTACCTACCTCTCGCCGTCGCCGTCCTCGGCGGCGCGCTGTCATTGCTTCTCATATCCTGGGCTACCCGTCGACGAGATGATGTTTCGAGGCTACCCAGCCCGTCTAGTTCAGAGGCGAGTTGGCTGTGGGGCCATGAACGTCGAGTATGGGACGGGGAAGCATGCCAGACCCACAAGAGGTGGATCCACGAAATCGGGCATGTATTCCGAATCAAGGCAGCCTTCGGAGGACGCGACATAGTATGACGTTTCTGCCTCGACGCTCTCGCATACCTGACTTTTTGTCGTTACAGCTCGTTGCTGCTGAGTGCGCGTCTATTTGATCGTCTGGTGATCGGAGTAACTGACGAGCGGCTGTTGCCATCTCCAGCCACCATGCTGTCCAGCACGTCCTTCAGAACACGGATCGCTATGTCATGGCGCACGCATTCCGCACGGTCATGGGCAACCTCATCGGAAAGGGTCTAGCCTGGGTGGTCGGCGATGATCACCTCAAACTGCGCCGCTTCCTCGCTCCCGCATTCGGTCCAGACAGCGTCAAACGCATGTCCGACGACGTCGTGACCTGCGCAGAGAAGGTTGGCACGACCTTTCCTCGCCATCGACGCCTGTAACAACTCAAATCCTGCAGCTTGAGTTGAGGCTTCACGGCGACGTATCCCATGACGCATCGCAAACATGTGAGGTCAACATCCTGCCGTATATCTCCGCTTGCACGTTGGATGTCATTGGCCGGGTCGCTTTCGGCCATGACTTCCAGCCACAATCGGCGGCGCCTTCGGGAGATGCGAGTCGCATCATGTCCAGCTGGCACAAGATAGTTGCGATCTCCGCAACCAACGCGTCGTTTTTGGCACCGTTAGTCCTGAGGATGTTCCCTTGGATCACGCAATTGCCTCTGCCGGCGCTGAAGGCCCAAGGAGGTGAAACACTTGTGTGCTTCCTCTTGTGATGGGGTAGAAGCTCATCATCGACCTCCAGAGGCGAACGTCATCGTGCGACAGATTGCCAAAAAGCTCATTGCCAACGCGAATACGGATGATGACCGCAGGGATATCCTTAGTAGATTGCTGAAGATGAACAAGAGTCAAGCACAATTCACAGAGGAAGAAATCATCGAAAACATAATCACCTTCACGATGGTAGGTATCTGTCATTGCCCAGTGATTTCATGTCTGACAGAACGGATTAGGTTGGCCATGAGACCTCGTCGGGCACCATATCCTTCACGCTACTTGCTCTTGCCCGAAACAAGGAAGTCCAGGACAAGCTTCGCCACGAGATCCAACAATATGGCCAAGACCTCTCGTATGATGCCGTACAGAAGTTGGAATACCTCGAAGCCGCTGTACGAGAAGGGATACGGCTGTTCGCTGCTTCGCCCCAAACGGACAGGGTCGCATTGAAAGACGACGTTCTGCCCCTCAAGTCTCCTGTACAGCTTGATGATGGCTCAGTCGTCCGGAGCGTCTACATCAAACGGGGACAGGTGCTATAGCTCTCCCATCGCTGTATATCTGGGCTTACATCGGTGCAGATCATACAGATACCTTTCGGAGCTATAAACGCGGATGAATCGACGTGGGGCAGCGATGCCGCGGCGTTCAATCCGGACCGGTGGATCGTGGCAGGTGGCGTACCGTCTCCGGCGGATCTACCACATGGTTGGAGCGGTTTGTTGTCCTTCAGCGACGGTCCAAGGACTTGTATCGGCTACAGACTCGGTACGTTGTTTTGTCTACTCGTCGATGCAGTCCACTTGAAAATTTTCTCAATCCGAAGCTATTCTGGAATGCAAAATCATTCTAGCCCGCCTCATTCGCGCCTTCGTGTTCGAAGACGCACAATGCACCGTCAGGACGAAGATCGCTCCCACATTGCAACCCATAGCGAACGGCGTAGCCGGGAACATGCCATTACGAGTACGGCCGGTCAATGGGTTCGGTTCGTGATATCGTTAGTTGACGACCAAAGTGCTCGTTTTCATGCTTTACACTGTACAATCATCGACGTGCAATGGAATCGTTCAAGCTGTATTATGATTTGAGCCCGCTGGCACATTCAGAGCAGGATCGAAGCAAAGGGCGCTTCAGTTCGATTCAGCGCGAAACCGATACACGTACACGAGCCTACAGTAGAATACTAGACACATCCGATCATACATTCGAGCATACTCGTACACTTACCTTGACGTCTTCGTCATTCGTCCACGACCTGCAACACCCACAGCTCCCCGCTGCGCTCGTTGGACGACAACAAGCCGCCGAACATGACTGCCACGTCTGACGACGCCCCGTCCGGCGCGCCTAGCTCTATAGCCGGGATGGAGGCCGGCGGGAACCAGCCTCTGCCCTCCGGGTTGTTACCCGGCGCGACGTCGAGCTTCTTCCATTGGAGGCCAGCCGCGATGTCGTCCGCATCGGGCCGCGGGTCGAAGGTGAGCGCCCAGACGTCGTCCCAGAACTCGCCCGCGCCGGCGTGTCCCGCGGCGCTGGGCGCCTTTTCGCCGTGCCACAACAGCGCGACGCATCCCGGCAGGGCGGGCGCGCGGAACGAGGCGAACCCGTGCACGGAGCGCGCGCCGGGAAAGCCGTGTACGGCGTCCGGGGAGGGCGTGAGCGTGCGCCAGGTGTTGGTCGCGATGTGGAAGAGGTCGAGTGTGCCGGCGTGCTCTGGGGTGGGGAGCTCGTGGCCCGCGAAACCTGTCGCGATGGGAGGTCAAGTTAGGCATTTAGGGAACAAGGGAGGACGTACCACCGAAGCGGAGGAGGACGTCCTGACCGGAGAGGGTGGCGGCAACCAGCGCCGTGCCGCCCCGTCCTGGTTCGGGTGCGGGTGCGAGGGCGCGCCAGGTGTTGGATGCGGTGGAGAAGGCGTGCAGCGCGCTGAGGCGGCCGGAGGCGGGGCAGCCGGCGTGCACGTACACTTCGTCCTGTTTGTCGTGTCAAGGTCGGCCACCCAGGACGCACATGGCTGCGAGATGTGAGTTCACCTTATACGCGACGGACGCGTGGTAGCTCCGCGACTCGGGTTCGTGCGGGTCGTCGGGCGTTCCGACGGGCTTCCAGGAGACGCCGGAAGACGAGAGAGCGCCGGCGTACATCCCGATCGCATCGCGCGGGAGAGGGCTCATGTCGATGCCGCCACGGCCGCCCCAGAGGTAGACGCTGCCGTGGGCGGTCGCAATCGAGGCGCCGACACGCGGCGACGGGGCGCTGCCGTTCTGCGCGGCGGCGAAGGTCTTGAGGTGCAGATATCGATCGGCGGGGCCCGCCCCCTTGGCGGGGAAGCCGGTCAGGTCGAGTGTGTGGACGACACCGGGGCTGGAGTCGTCCGTCGGCGTGCGTGGTTTGAGTTCGCCGCCGTGGACGACGATGCGCGGGCCGACGGCGCAGACGCCATGGGAAGATCGGGCGAGGGTGGGCGCATGGGTGAGCAGCGTCCAGCGCGCCAGAGGAGCCATCCTGTGTTTCGCTGGGCGATGTTTAGGTCGGAGGGAGAGTGCAAAGGCCGTAGCCCGAGGATATGTGCGCCATCGCCTGGAGCCATCAACGGGAGGCCAAGGTATGTCAAGTCGACTTGTCGGCCGAGCGCGGCCTGTGGCCGTGTCGTGTCACGCCGCGCGTGCCTTGCGTGAGCGTGAGCGAGAGCGTGACTGCGCGCATTTCTCCTCTCCCACTGACCACGACCATGTCTGACCTGGATGCTGACTTGTACGGAGGTTCGTAGTTCTGGTAACCGTACCGGTCTCCCATTGATGGTCAGCTTGTAGACCTTTACGGCAATGACGAGAACGACTTCACCAGTCCTGTAGACGCCTCGAAAGGATCACCGAAAGAAGACGAGTTGGAAAGACTAGAAGACATCCCGACCCCAACGCCTGCCTCAGAGACCGTAGAGACCACCAAGTCGCCCCCGGCGCAAACTAAAAGTCCAGCCGAACAACCGAAACCGATACCAGCGTCGGCTTCAGCGCCACCTGTCGTGCCTTATCCCACTCAGCAGATACAAACGTATGAGGAGAACAAGTACGACGACTCGCATGTCAGCCGTATGAACAACGCTGGTGGAGGCGTTGGAGGCCTTCACGCGGTCGGTGACCGGCCCGTCCGGCCCTCAGAAATGAAAGACGAAGGGTGAGTCATCGTCTTCCGCGAACTGAATCCCCTTCGCCGCGCCGCTATAGGATCACCGGTGGATGCCATGAGAGCTACTCTATGGCGTGTTCGTGACTCTACCGACTAGCCCTACGTCGCTCTAGTCCTAGTGCATGCATACGTCTAGACCTAGGCTAGCAGACATCCAGCACGTCGTAGTCTTCCCGCCATGCGTAACATCCCGTATCTTAGTATGTCGATACTGATATACTGTCTGCTCTCTCCGTATATCCCTCTGGCTACGCCCCGGCTGTCTCTGTACTCCCACCTTGGCAATACGACCGTATCTCTTGCGACACGGCACTCGTGATACCTATGAACCTGCAGCAAGATGTTCATCGGCGGTTTACACTGGGACACCACGGATGGTATTGTTGGATTCGTAGATATATATGAACGCACATGCTGATCCGTTCATGATCGTTCAGAGGCGCTGAAGAGCTATTTTGAGCAATTCGGTAAAGTCGATGCGTGCACGATTATGCGCGACGCCAACGGTCGCTCGCGATGCTTTGCGTTTTTGACCTTCGAAGACCCGGCCTCGGTAAATGCCGTGATGGTCAGGGAACACATCCTTGACGGGAAAATCGTGGGTGGCCATCGTGCTGTGGACGGTGACCGACGTGACTGACCATCTCTCTGCAAGATCGACCCAAAACGCGCGATACCGCGCACAGAACACCAGCGAGCTACCAAGCTCTTCATCGGTGGACTCGCCGGGAGTGTCACCTCTGAGTCCATGCGAGAGTTTTTCTCTCAATTCGGCAAGGTCACCGACTCGACCGTCATGTTAGACCGTGAGACTGGCCGAAGCAAAGGCTTTGGTTTTATATCCTTGGAGGATGTCGACGTGACGCCCATACTTGGTTTTGGGAACCTCGAGATAGATGGCAAGCTGGTACGTATCGTTGTCGCGGTGGCGTGTGCGATAGGCCGCTGATTCGTCCTCTGTCAGATCGACGTAAAGTTGGCTCAGCCCAGATTCCAGAGGGAAGATGGCGGAGCTGGCGGTGCGAACGCTGGACGAGGCGCCGGATTCGCGGGCGGCGCAGGCTTCAACAACGCCGGTGGCAACTTTGCGAACGCAGGCAGTCCAGCGCCAGCCGCGACCGGGACGACCAACACGCCGTTCGATCCTCAGGCTCTGGCCGCGCTTTACACGCGCATGTTCCAGGTGAGCGGGGGGATGAACATGGGCATGGGCGGCATGGGCGGTATGGGCATGGGCATGGGCGGCATGGGTATGGGCATGGGTGGCATGGGCGGTATGGGGAATATGGCTGGTATGGCTGGCATGGGCGGCATGGGAGGAATGGGTGGTATGGGGCGGGGGATGATGGGGAACATGGGCATGGGCATGGGACGGGGCATGGGTGCCGGTGCCATGGGCGGGCAAGGCATGATGGGCGGCGCGGCCGGCGGTATGGTGCCCAACGCACCCAGAGGACCGAGAGGTGGACCCGGTGGTCCAGGAGGTCCTGGGATGGTCGGTCCGCAAGCTGGAGTTGGACCCCAACGGACTGGACAGAGGGGGCAGCACAACTACCACCCGTATGCTCGGTGAACAGGCTCGCCCTCGTATTTGTTGTATACCGAACGTTCATGCCCCTCTTCGTACTTATATCTCGCGACATTGTGAAGTATCATACAACTGCCCTCGTACACTATAATAATATACTTCTCACTGCTCAGACGGCTAATGTATATGAGCGTATTCCATGTGATACGAACCAAGTACAAGAAGTCGGCCCATATGTGGAGCTCGAGAGCGTACGGTCTGCACTGAGATGACGCGCTTGGTTGAGAAACTCGACGGCGGGACGTCGACGTCCGAAATCCTCGTGGCGGGCTCGAGTTTTCTTCCACCTCTCCTGGCGTTCGATATGTTTGTTTGATATCTGGCGGGTCCTTTCTCCATTCCTCAAGCGCAACATTTCCTCCGACATCTCCTTCAGCACCTGTACGGCGTCCCCATGGCTTGCGAAGTGATTAGCCATACTCTCCCGAAGATAGTGGTGTTTGCCTCCTCCGAAAATTTGGAGCGCTCGAGTTATCCTTTGGACCACTGTTCGCCGCCAGGCCTCCCAGCGATCCAGTATGCCTATGACCATGATCCGTTGGAACTACCGCTGTTTCTAAACATCACTGCGGATACCTACCCCTCGTTCGATGATCACCCAGCAACGACAACACCCGACGAGAACGACCACTACGACAGCGAAACCTCCGACGCAGATTACGACACAACAAGCCACGAAACACAGCTAGACAATAACATATTACCGGGGAACGAGTCTATCGCTCTCGCCAGCGCTGAATGTGACACAGAGGGTGGATCGGCAGCTTCTCGTGATGCATGCTCCAAACGCGCTCCGTGGGGCACATGGCCAGCCTTTCCCTCGCTGTTGTCCGCTAATCCACTACGTCGCGGTAATCCGGTCCATCACGCTCGCCACGGATACCCACACCGCGGACACTCGGGCAGCTCGCTCAGGCACCTCAAATCGTTCTGGGACAGCCGCAGGGAGAACTGGTGGTCTCTGCAAGGACAGGGTGCGGCCTACGATGGCATCCTCCACGCCAGCCACCTCTATTCTGACGAGCCGTCATCCGAAGATATCGACCGGTCGAGCTCGGAACCTTCCCGCCCGCCTTTCACGCAGGAAGGTATCTTCCCGAGGATGGGGGACCTGCATGCACTCAAGTATCTGCACTGCGCGACCGTGGACTATTGCTTCGCGGACTTCCCTGCCTGGACGATCAGCAAGGCTCTCTTCACCTGGAACGTGCTTCTGGTTTCGTCACCTCGGTTCGCTCAGGACACGCCCCGCCTGGAGCCTGGTTGCCCCGTGATACACCCCTCAAGTGATTCTGTTTCTTCGGGGAACCCTGGAATCGTAGCAAGTATTTCCGGAGAGACCCGTTCTTGCGACGAAGGCCTCCGTGAGGAGCTGCTTAGGTCATCAAGCAAAGGATGGTACTATCGCTGGCAGATAATCCTGCAGATCCTCGGGGGCGTCGCCCCGCAGCAGGCCAACTGCGCTCTCTCGCAAAGCATCTCGCTGGCAATCTCCACCTCCCTATCGAGCGACAGCGTCTACGGGGGCACCGAATCGGTTACGCTGGACGATGCGATGGATCTCCTGGACCAGGCGGCGGAGGATCCACAACTACCGAAGACGCTCGAGTGTGCGTATCGGGGCGAACGAGCTCTTACAGGAACCGTATCAGCTCGCACCGTCAGTGCTCAGGGCGACGATGATTGGTGGGAGGAGGACTCGGAGGAGGACTACGGCGTGCTGCTATCGCAGCCGTCATTTGGTCCGGTAGTGGAAGATTTCCTGAGGAGCTGGAACATCCCGCCTTGACGGCATCCCGTCCCTGGACAGAGCTTACCCCACATTCAGCCTAATGCATCGTCTATCACATCGTCACTCATTCACATATCATATTTTCTGTGTATTAATGTATTAATCATGTTTGGACTACTATCGGATAGTTTAGAAAACTCCCTGTAGATGAACCTCGAGATGGGCCTCGTAGCTTCAAGACATGGAACGATCTTAAACATGGGATTGAGGAGATCACCATTACACCGGCGTAACCTCCGGTAAACCGGTCTCTTTCGGCTTGGCGGGAAGGGGTATCGGCTCCCTAATCAGCTTTACATTCGTCATTCGCATCTTTGTCGTGCGATCGCGTGAGGGCACAAGGTACCTCCCGGCAGAGGTAGACAGGGTCGTCATAGTCTGCTGAGGAGAGGCGGAAGCGGGAGGGGAGATCACTTGCACGATTCCCTGCGTCTCGATGTTGTGAATCTCGATAGTCTGATTCGGGAGGAGGGCGACGATATACGGGTAATCGAGCGCTGAATCCACGTCAGATCTTGTCCTCAAACCAACCGGATTGGAGACGTACAGATCGCTTCCGGATGACTGGGCCACGTCAAGGTGCCCCGCAGTGGATCACCATCGCCGGTGATGAACACGCCCATTGCGCTGGCTCCCGTCCAAGAAACTACCAAGAATTCGTTCTCGCCGATGACAGTTATCAGAGGTTTGATGGGACCGGAGTCAGGTGCTTGCGAGATGGGCATGAACGGGAATAACGATGCTTCCTCAAGGTTGATCATGTTATAGAATTCCTTGTCCGCAACGCAGAGGTGGCGACCTATGCGTCGCGCAACAGTGGCGCCCTGCGGGAGAGGAATATCCTACACCGTCATTGGAACTCGATACAAATTGTTCGAAACACGTGTCGGGCTCACCTTCTGGTAAAGTAGCCGTTCTCTGAGCTGGTAAAGGGTAATACTTGTCCGTTTTATGATGCAGAGATCGACTGGCTCCACATTCGCAGGGCTGGAGGTGTTGAGTGGTGGCCGTCGAAGATGTTGCTCATCGACGGTGAATGTGACCACATTCCGAAGAGGGCTGATAGTTTGGACGGGGTCCAGCGAAGGCAGGGTATAGAAGTGAACCTGGTTACCTGTCAAGCAATTCTGTCATGACGCATTGAGGGAAACCTCGAGGGAGGACGAACCTGACAATATGAGGGCACGAGCGATGCTTCCCACTAGCACAATGTCGTCAATAGGTCTTGCCGCGGGTCCAGGAAGATTCTGCCTTGAAAGCAAAGTATATGCCTGGGACTGTTTACATTCATTGACTGCGCGATCTGTAGAGGGTAAGGACAGCTGACCTTTGTCTGGTCGCCCTTTTCTAGTGCGAAGCGCAAGAGCTCTCCATTGGAGCATCCCGCATATATTTCGGGGCCTGAGGCAGTGGTTAGCGTTATGACACGGTGTGGGATGACATCTGCGAACGGACCCAAGGCTTGAACGCAGCGAACTTGAGCTCCTGCATGCGTGCACTACGGTGAGCTGGTGCGACCGCGAGTGATAGTGGTGTTCGGACCATGCTGCTCAGCGACGCTCGCAATCAACGACTGCAACTGGTAGGGCGGAATCTCCAACGGGTTCGTCGGTGCTGAAGTCATGAGGTGGTGAACTCGGGCCGTGGCTTTCTGGCTGACTGGGCTCCGGGGCTTTGGCCACGTTGACGGTGTCCTTCCTCGTGTTTACGGATCACGATACGGTCTATAGCTCTGAATGAATGGAGCGACGAAGCTGCGACGGCGACATGGAGCAAGCAATGGCCGCGCGATCACTGGAGTCGCTGTCCCAAAGCGGTTCGCGGAGACGGACCAAGCGAATCCCTTCGGATCTGTCCCGTATGCTCCATTCGACTTGGCCAACGCTTTCTTGTTCCCCGTCACTCCAGCGCCCTAAGGATACGGGACAATGTCGACGGCTTTGCACAAGAGGCTCTCCATTAGCAGCCACAGGAGCCAGAGCCCAGGACTTTCGCGTAGCCCCACCATATTCGCGAACGCGTCTAATGCGGATGCGGAGGAATGGATCAATGCATGGGCGCAGGTGTCTGCTAAAGGTGTGTCGAGTATTTCGATCGGGATGTAGGCCCTTGCTGATAGACGATCTATAGATCTCGTCGACTCGCCAGTCGTTTCTGTGCCGCCGGATTGTAGCGTCGAGGATGCGTGCGAGGTGAGTGCTCGCTTTTCACACTCGCTGAAAGAGAAACGTCCTGAACGGGTCCCCGTGGTAGAAACTGCTCTCTGAGAGCTTGATGTGCCTCGCGGTGGAGTCCCGCGCAGGCAACTCCAATGCACCCTACTCTGGCTTGTTTGATGTTCGCTGGGCCGGTTAATCCGTCTTGAACTGGCAAAGGCTGATTCAAAACCTAGTTCGCAGACGTCAATGCATTCCTGACCTTGGCAGCTACCCGACATACACTATCACCGGACGAACTCCGAGAAAAGCCAATCCTCGGGCGCATACTGACTGCCGCTAAGGCAGGACATGTCCCGGTGGACTTGGTCAGCAGTAAGTCTTGTTGTATTCTTCTTCAACTACATATATTCTGACTATGGGCAGACCTATCGGAGAAGAACGCTCTGGAAACATTACCCCAAGATGCAAACCTCATTTCCCTTCTTGGAATATTCTCCGGAGGATGCCATAGGGGTAGGCATACTCTGTTACTAAAATCGCCTCCATTCACATTTGTTCAGTTCTAATCTACGGTGACGATTCGTCCAAGCCTTGGATTGGTTTCGTATCCGACCGCAAAGTGCTTTCCTATCTTGGCGAACACGCCAAACGAACGCGTTCCTTGCAAGCGTATTTCGAGAACCCGCTGAACCGATTAGCGCTTCCTTCGCTGAATTTATTCGCGTCCATTGTCGCGACTACGGCGGATTCCACAACGCTCGAAGCGATGAAGCTCATGAATGACGAAGGCGTGAGCAGCGTCGCGGTCCTCGAGGAAGTCAATGGGACGCTCCTGAGCGCTGTGAGCGTGACAGATATTGGCAAGGTCATATCGTCTTCAGTATGGCAGATCCACATTTGAGCCAGTAAACTAACATACGCAACAGATCGTAGTTCCATCACAGAGTAATGAGATCCTGACGATGCCCTTGAGGCGATTGATCACCATGATCAGGGTGCGCCTGAATTCCCGTACTTCTTGCGCTTTTCTTCAATTACGAGATCATATAGAGCCCGCTAGGATCGACCGACGGAGAGGAACGATATCCAGGTATGTCAATTGAGTGTCAACCTACACCCAAGGACTCATCCGCACATAGTATACAGTGTCACGCCCTCGAGCACCCTCTCCTATACCGTGCAGAAGCTTATCGCGAGTGAGTGTGCAACCTTATGCCATTGCGCGCCGGCTACGAACGTAATACACCGCCGTCAGCCGATGCGCATAGACTATTTGTAACGAGTGATGCGTCCAGCTCACCATCAACTCTCACGTCGCCGAACGCCTCTGGTCATTTGACCGGCGTCGTGTCCATCATCGACAGTGAGAACCCCCGCATCTGTCGGATTCGTAAGTGGGAAGCTGATCATATTGCTCGCAGTACTGTCTCTCTTCGGACGCATCGCCAATATCCCGGACGTTGACCCGACGCGTCTGCAACGCCATCGCCGCATGTCGTCCTCGTCTTCGCGCTCGTCCCGCTCTTCGCGGTCTACAGGAGATTTTGATCCGCGCCGTTCGCGATCAGGCAGTCGCACGAGCGACCCGCGTATTGCATATGGCAGCCCCGTGGCTCGTTCACCGGTGACGCTCGGCCTCGCTGGGAATAGGAACTCGGTCGGAAGCATGAATCTTGGGGATTAAGTGCCTCGTTCAGGTAGTGTTTTGATAGGAAGGATTCAGTTTACATGTGCATAACGGTTCTCTTCGATGATAATGATCATACGGTTTCCCATTGGTTGCTTGACTGAACGTCAACAATCGCATCGTGGATGCAGTAACTTACTAAACGTTCGTGTTCACAAGTTCGGACGCAAAGCCGACGATAGGCTCTTCTTTGGCTGCGATCGCGAGTCATGGCGCATGAAATCTTCGACACTGGGCTTGCCCCTCCTATTCACCTACCTCCCCGTCTGATCTATCTCTACCCTGTTTGCGAGGATATTGAACGTCCTCAACATGATCGCCACAATGACGACGCCGTCCATCCAAAACCAGGAGAGTACCATGGGCTCGACTGTGCCGCCCTTCACCCCGCACGCGATCTCCGTTTCTCTGCCCACCTGGAGGGACAACGTTGACTACGAAGAAGGCGCGAAGAGAGTCACTGATGCTATGGTCACTGGTTATCCTCGGTTCTTCATCCACAAGAGCATTCAGAAGGTACGTTATGCAGCCCTCACTCAGGGACTTGTTTCAATGAACGCGTCTTGGTTGTCACCGTCATAGCTAGCCTCAATATGTGAGCAGAAGTTCGGAGTGAACGGCGAAAAGTCCTTGCTTTGCGCTACACGCCAGAATGCCAACTACTGCAGGACGTTCATGGTCGACCAGAGCACGAAGATCCAGGGATCCCCCGTCACCGTCCGCCTCGTCCAGTTCTCGATCCAGGCTGAAGACCAAGCGCAAAATGTCGCATCCTCATCCACCCCCCAGTCAATCGATTTGCACATCGTCCTCTTTCCCGCGGATGCGTGGTCATTCGCCAAGGCTTTCTGGCAGCACACCGGCATGGGCGTCTCTAGCAGACTGGCGGACCGCTGCCTGACCATACTCGCCGCCAACGAGAGCGTACGCTCGCCCCCGACGTCGCCCACCGTTCCTCGCCCACCATTCAAAGCCAGTAACAGGCATTACTCTACCAAACCATCGCTCGCGCCTACGCCATCCCCTCCCGCAACTCAGACAAAAGCCGATGAAGCGTTTACCGGCGACGAGGTCACCTACCTTGAGGAGCGCTACGGACGCAACATGCCCTTGTCCTACGCGGCAGCTGCGAAGCGAGCCCTCCGCCGTCGTATAGCAGGCGTCCTAGTGGACGACAGAATACACGAGTCTCCCAGTGGTCCTTATGCTGGCGGAGATGATGTTCAGCTGGGACCTAGTACCCGTGGCATCAAGAACATCTCGGAGGACGACGTATTTCTCTTTCCAACTGGTATGACGGCTATATGGCATGCGCATCAGCTCGCGTTGGCCACAGGGCCTTCCGCCAAGAGCGTGTGTTTTGGGTAAGCGTACTATATAGTCAGTCCTGACGCATTTCCAACGTCCGTATAGGTTCCCGTATACGGATACGCTGAAGATCCTCCAGAAGTGGGGTCCTGGCTGCCACTTTTACGGCCATGGGCTCGACTCGGACCTGGACGACCTCGAGAAGCTACTCGAACAGGAGTCAGCGCAAACCTCGAATCCCGTGCTCTCAATGTTCACTGAGTTCCCGTCAAATCCTCTGTTGCGGTCGGCGGATCTCCCCCGTATTCGTGCTCTCGCCGACAAGTACAACTTCCTCCTTGTCGTGGACGAGACCATAGGAAACTTTGTGAACGTTGAGGTGTTGCGGTATGCAGACATCGTCGTGAGTAGTCTATCGAAGGTTTTCAGCGGCGACGCGAACGTCATGGGCGGCAGGTATGAGGTTACGCGTGTAGCATCCCGTATGCTGCTGATCGCTCCTCCAGTCTGGTCTTGAACCCGCAAGGGCCGCACTACACTAAACTGAAAGCCCACGCGACATCGCACTTCGAGGATTTCTACTTCGACGAAGATGCGATCTTCATGGAACGCAATTCCCGCAACTTCAGGCAGCGTATTCACGCCATCGATAAAAACACGGAGGCCGTCTGCGATTTCCTGCGCTCGCGATCCGTGGCCGGAGGGGTCCCCACCGCGGCGATAAAGGACGTGTTCTATCCCAAATGGTCCACGCCGGAGCACTACGAACGCTGCCGTATCAAAGGTTACGTAGACGACGACGGGAACAAGCGCGACGGCGGCTACGGCGGTTTGTTCTCTCTCACGTTTGCGTCTATCGAGGCCTCTAGGGCGTTCTTCGACAACCTGGCGGTGTTCAAGGGCCCCAGCCTCGGGACGAACTTCACGCTCGCGTGCCCGTACACCGTGCTCGCGCACTACGCGGAGATGGACTGGGCGCTGCAGTTCGGGGTGGAGGAGGGGTTGGTGCGCGTTAGCGTCGGACTGGAGGATACGGAGGAATTGTTGGGCAAGTTCCAGGCTGCCCTAGTTGCGGCCGAAGCTGTTCGTACCTGAGCCTGCGAATGATGGAGACAGCAGGCCGTCGGTCCAACCCGTTTACGTTCATCTTGGATATCAAAGCTACCGTTCAAGCACACGCACCGAGCCATGGCTAGTTTCATCCAATATCGATGCCTTCGTTCATCCGAGGGATACTCTTAGCCTCTGCCGCTAGTAATAAAAGTGCCTAGCCCAGATTCTGCTTGTCGTCGACTGCAGATGCCAGTGCACCAACTGTGCACGAGTGATTGTAAGCAGCTTGATACGGGTCACGCGCGTTGCGTGGAGGATGCCATTGGAATTACCTTTGGCTCGTACCGCTCTTCCTCTTTTGAGCTGGTTCGGATCTGCTCTTCTTGTTGTTCTCTGCGCGGTCCGCGTGTTATCCCCTTGTTGTACGTGTACAGATCGGTCAATGCACGAGGTGACGAGTCGTTCTGCCGAGGCGATGGAGTCCGTCTGCGTTATCAGATAAAACCCGAGGGCGGCTATCATCGCCTCTCGTTCACTGAATTCACCGCCGCCTGAGCTCCCAGAACCAAACGTGCGTTGCCTCATCTACGCTGCGGTGGAAGATGCGCCCCGAGTGGTCACGTCCTCACCGTTATGTTTGTACAGGAATACTGGCCCGAGCCTCCAAGTGACGATTACGAAGCCCCTATTTCGCTCGCCCAATCAGCGACCATAGCACAGCTTACGGGACATGTGAGTACCGTGTCCTTTGCAAGCAACCTTGCTTGTCTGTCGAAATATATATTGACACCCGCCCGAACGCACCCATTCAGAGCTTTGCCGAGTCCCACACACCATGGCTCTTGAGGCTCTCATGCTGCCGTTCGGCCACTCCAAGAGCGGCATTCCCCACCATGCCACACCCTCTCGACTATCAACCGCGACCTCCATAAACCCACAGCGAGTGTTGCTGTCTTCCCGCACGCAGATAGATCGATTTGACGGTGGTCTCTCCGGAATAGCAGGTACGTGGCATACCACGATTATTCTCGAGAACGCGGATGTTCATTGACATCTCACTGCAGGCGCCCGGGAGATCATCCGCGACATTTCCTCGCGGCGAACCGTCACGAAACTCGTCCTGGGGCACAATGATCTTGGCGATGACGGAACAGTACTGCTGTTTACATTCTTGAACTCGTCAAGTTCTCGGTCAGGGCCCATATATAAGCAGACTATCACGGAGATCAACCTGAACGGGAATGCTATCGGCAACAAGGGCCTACAGGCTATCACACAATACCTCGAAGATAACTCCGCCTTGAAGGAGTTGACCTTACAGAACGTGTGTTGAACTTGCGCACATGTTATATGCTCACTGTGCTCATCGCCTCCTCGCAGAACAATTTCACCGGGGACGCCGAGACGCTGGAGTCGTTTGCCTCTGCTCTTAATCGCTCACAAGTCCGTTTCCTGTCCCTAACCTCCAATCCGCTCACGATACCCCACGACTCTACCCGTCCGTGCCCTGTATTCGCCTCGTCGTTCCTCGCGAAACTCGATGCACCCTCCCTTCACGAACTCCACCTCTCCGCGCTTGGTCTACCCCGCTCCGCTGTTCCATATCTCGTCGACTACCTTACTTCCGCCGAGCGCTGCCGCCTTCACACCTTCAAGTGCAACGGGAACGGTCTCGGTATCCGCGGCATGACCAAGATCATCCGTGGTATTGGAGAATGGAGAAAGGGCCAGAATTTCCGTCTGTTGAAGATCGAAATGTACGCGAACCGTGCGCCGGGACCAGACGAAGATGTGGAAGAGGAAGCCGAGGAGGAGGGGGACGGAGACGACAGAAGCTACGATGTACGATGGAAAGAGCTAGAGCAAGAGCTGAAGGCCACCCTGCAACGGAACGGGCATCTCCAGCGAGCCGTGCAGCAGCAGGCCCTCGAGTTACTGCATCACTCCAGGCCGATGCTCCTGAAGTCGACTAAAGCAGACATGTTACCCCGACCGTCGAACACCCCACAACCAAGGTCGTTGCCCATCGAACTTCGCCTTCACATACTATCCCACCTGGCACCCGACCTATCCGCACGTCAGCGCATCCGGATTTACGACTACGCCAGCTCGCCCGAAACGCTGCCCGATGTCCCTCGCGTCGGCAGCGGCACTTTGTCGAGCTCGAACTGCATACCCGACCCGGGAAGCTTTCCGCTCGGTGCTGCGGGCACAGGCGGATCGCATCACCTCATCAGCCCGGGGCCTGGGTCGCTCCTCTCAGGGACGATTGGTAGCAAAATCTGGGATCTCGGCGCAGGCCATGGCGCCTTCACCGGCTGTGCGAACGGCCGATGCATGGGCGCGGGGAACAGCGTTCTGTGCCGCAGGGAGCAACAACGGGTGAGGTGGCTGGAGGATGTAGGATGCGCCGCATTCGAGCTCTGAGTTTGCTACATGGCCGTTTCTCTGGATCTGCTGTACCTGCTGTACCTTGCATTCTCAAGTTTACTCATCGGCCGTCTCCTTCAGGAAGTTATTCTTGGATCACTTTCTATTCTTGGATCACTTACTACACTGTATATCAATGATAGGGGGTATGGTATGGTATGGTATTACCCGGCACGGTCCCAAAAGCGGAACGCCGGTCGCCGCACAGATTTGCGCGGGTGGCACGCCTGCAATCAGTGAGCCGAAGCCGACGCACCGCTCCGACGCAGGCGTTAAGCTAAGTTACAGTACATGCAATATAACAGCTACTACATTTAATTGTAACACCCCTCAGATTCATAACCAGCTCTTGCACGTCGTATCTGCATTAGACTGACTGCAAAACATGGATCCTCTCCTTTGCTCAAGTACGAACGCACGGTGCACACTGCAAGATACCGACGGATGAATAATTACGATCGAAGCCAGGTGCTTCACCTAGGGTCATTCTCCGTGGTCCTCGCGTGATCACGCTGGACTTCCCGCTTCAGTCCTCCGAGCTCGAGTCCGAAGGCCAGGGGGTCGCATCGTAACAACACCAACAGGGGAAACTCAGTCTGCTACATAACCTATTACCTGAGTATTGCCCGTACCAAGCAGCTAGCAACTACTGCCTCATATTCATATTCTTGTGGGGGCTCTGTCGCGATCAGGAGAGGCAAAACGTCGGGCATCGCCTCCGACAGGTTATCAAATACACCCTCGCTTCTCACCACCTCCGAAATGATGGCTGGTAATCGTCTCGCCATGGCTCCGTTCCGTTTCAATAATTATAGGGGTGTGCCATCCAGGCCCGGGGGCCTTATGCCTCGCTAATAGTCTCGGTTTCACCTGACGCGTTCTGCGCCGCCCCCTGGTCGTTTGTCCTGCTTGTCCTCGCCTTGAGAGCTTCACAATGCCGGTGTACAATTTCACTGGTGCGTGGTTCGTTGACTCAAGAGTTGCGTTTCACAACGGACAATCTTAAACAGTTGACGATTCGAGTCCTATCATCACTTACGCCCCGGCTGGTGCTTGGTCGGACTCAAGTACGGCCGATTCCAAGCTCGACCAGTATGCCAATTCTACATTCCATGCGACGAACGTATCCGTGAGTTTCCTTTCGTTGTGACGCGTTTTGCGACGTGCCTCATCGTAGTGCACTGTTGCAGGGCGCCACGGCCTCCTTCTCCTTCACCGGGACCGCGTTCTATCTGTACGGTGCAAAACGCGCGAATCACGTACGTTGCCTTCCTCCAGTAGCCGGTGCACGCCATTGAGTGGCATGCAGGACGAGTACACCGTCACCGTGGACGGGAGCGCAGCGATAGCCAACGGCTTCAATGCCACAGACGACTTCCAGACGCTCTTGTGGTCGGCGACGGACCTGGAGAATGAGCAGCACCAGGTCGTACTTACTGATACCAGCACGCGGAGCGATCGCCCATATGTGGACATCGATTTCGTCGTGTTCACCCTTGGAGACGGGCACCCCGAGTCAGTGCAAGCGACACACACAAACACTCCGGTTTTCTCACCACTATCGTCGCAGAACTCCATTTCAGGACACGACTTTGGACGATACGGCGTGGACGAATATCACCTATGGAGATGGGTGGGAAACGGGCTCGAATGGGCTTAATAACGACTACTACAACGGCACTTTCCAGTACGTATCCTTTCATATCGCGATCCTATATTGGATTTTCATCGGTGTTGCCGCAGCGACACGAAGACCCAAGGCGCTGCAGCCCGAATCACGTTCTTCGGTAGGCCGCTGTCTCTCTTCTCGCTGATCCAAATGACTCAGATCGTCCAGGCGAATGCATATACCTTTACGGCGCGACAAGCTCGAATCACGGAAACTATAGCGTCGCTATCGATGGGGGCGCACCCACTTCCTTAACCGGTTACACGGGGACTCCTACAGATCCTGGGACCATATTCCGTCCTCAAACGTTACTCGTACGCCCTTTCTAGCCTGCTTTTTTGGTCATAAGATAGAATAAACATGTTCTGGCCTCTGCAGTTCTTCGCCAGTGGTCTCGCGCACGACACACATACTCTAGAGTTGACCAATACGGATACGAGCGGCGCTTACCTGGATTTCGATCGGCTAGTGACGACAACGTGGACCGTAGCTACTAACGCTTCCAGCTCTGCTACGGTGTCATGAACGCTTAGTAATGACACGCAGAATAGAGTAGAACCTTGTAGAAGGCGCTGGAATGCGCCTGAAGGTTCTAGGACTTGTAGTGACTCAGGTTATGACTCGACTGTGACTCATAAGGAACATTGTAGAATAGTATAGAACGTTATGGTAGGTACTGGAAGGTTCTAGTACAGTACCTGTATAGTAGTATATAAGACGCTAGCTGAAGTCGATGGACTTCAGCTCGTCCATTTGTTATACACGCCCTTAGCGCCATAACGATTGACGGCTCGGTTACGGCCTTTTAGACTTAAGACTAAGACACCGCTACCTACACAAGAACGACACTCGACCTAGTGCGCCTAGAGTCTTAACTCTCACGCCTAAGTCACACGACACAGCCTAGACGACAACGACAGACTTTACGCCAAGTCTA